CCCATCTGGTGGCCAGTGACCAGCACTGACAGAGCTGGGCTTCCCCATCTGGTGGCCGGTGACCAGTACTGACAGAGCTGGGCTTCCCTGTCTGGTGACCACAGCAGGAAAGGGCCTGTGTATAATTCCTGGAGAGCAGGCTGGCATTTTGGCTTGCAGAGAGAACAGGAATGCGGGTGTTCTCCAAGCGAGGTAAGCAGCCCGGAGCACATGAGGCCTGGCAAAACTCGATGCAGGGTTCCTCCAAGCTACCACCCCCCTTTTTAACCTTGGGCCTGCTTGGAAATGCCCAGCTCCACAGCAGAGTCTGCAGAAAGGAAGATGTTCGGGCTACTAACGTGTCACAGGGCAGAGTGGGGAACTGGGGTGCTGGCTCCTTGCACCCCCATGGCACCCTTTGCCAGCGTGTCCGCCAAGCTGGGCGCGCGCTGCTCACAGCACGTGCCACTCCAGCGCCCCTGGCAGCTTCTTCTCTGCCGTGGTGCCCTCGCCTTGGCGGATGCCCAGGATTCAGCCTTTTGTTGTGGCACCAGCTAGTCTCGCCCCGCTGGTGTTGAACACCTGGCTCCCCAGCAAACTAGCTCCCACAAACACGCTTCCAACCAGAGAGCCCTTAGCTTTCAGCTAAGAAAAACAAGATTTTATTAATTTGTAAGAGAATATGAGCAGATTAACAACCAAAATCCTCTAGCAACACAAGCGTTAGTACCTGTGGGTGTAAGTAATATTTGTACCTTACATAACATAGCTTATGTTATCAGTGAAAGCATCAACATAGTTGGCCTGTTATTGCACTGCTTCGTTGAACAATCTATTGCACAACACGAACAAATCTAGGGAAATCTTTGAGAAATCACTGTACTGGTGTGGAAACCAACACAGTAACTTGACAGCTTTTTAATTAGAAAAGATATAAAAATTGCAGGGTCAAATATCCTGAATTTCCTTTATTTCAAGATAGATTTTATGCACAAACTCCTACTAGGTATCCCAATATTTCTGGAAGATGGGATTTTCATGCATCATTATTTTTCCCTAGCAGAGGTGGGCTCTTTGAAACCCACAAGCAGTGAGCGTTTTTGGAGCAGCAGCAGCAAAGGATGTTCCCCTGTCTCTGGCTCAAGTTCAGGGCACGTTTCTTCAGGTGCAACACCAGCTTAAGCAGCATCTGCTGCTAGGCACTTAATCTCAAGCCTTCTGTACCTGCTAAGCTGTCTGGTCCGAGCTTCCATATCACTTCATGGTGAGACAGATGAGGCAAAAAATCTGGGTTAAAATGAACCCAGTGAAACCTCCCTGAATAACTACAGCATTGCATGAGATCGAGTGCAGGGCAGTGTACAAGAAAACTGGAGAGTCTCTTTTGATAATGTTGGCTTAAGTGGATTGTGAATCTAGACTCTGAATAATACTGGATGGAAAGTGGGGGAGACTGAAGAAAAATGAGTCAGAAGCACCAGGAAAACAATAGCCATTTCTTTTTCAGATTGCTTTTATCAATCTATGTTCTTATTTAGAGTACGGAGGGAAAAAAATGTTTTGAGAATATCTTCAAACTTCTATTCCTGAATTCACTCCAAGTCTTATGCTCCCACTTAGTGTTTGATTCTATGTAAATATGAAACTCCCTTAACTAAGTTCTAAGTAATGCTAAGTAAGCCCTTTACTTAGTCCCTCTTGGACTGTAAATTAAAATGATCCAAAATATTGTCTGGGATTTGATGTAGGATTGTGTGTAGCTACCAGAGAGGAGATGATCCTTCCAAAGTCTAGTCCAGACAGTCTCCAGAGCAAACAAAACAAACAACAACAAAAAAGCAGTCCTTGCATATTCCAGACAAGCTTCCAGGTTCCAGAACCAATTTTTCTTTGATAAATGGTATGGAAACTAGGAAAAATTTTAGTCTAGCAATCATCTAAAAGCACCTGCAAAATCTAACCTTTGATTAGTGGGGAAATTTTCAAAAACAGAAGGAACTACCACTTTCCTGACAATCACATCTGGACATCTTTCTTATGGCTCCTTGGCTTCAATTTACACATTACCCCATCTGATGGCCTAAAGGTGCCAATATCCAAGAGTTTAAAACTCTGCCCTGGTACCAGCTGGAATTCAAACCTCTGCAGCAATTTTGCCATCACCACTTTCGCCTCCATCTGTTACAGAGAAAAGCAAACTCAGAATCAGTGACAGCAAATCCAGCCTTGATTGCAATACTTGAGGTTCAGTTTGCCACACCATGCTGCTTGGTCAATACAGATAATTAAAACTTAACACATGACTCTACTAACGCAGCTCACTGCGTAGTAGTGAGTTTGGGCAGAAAGAACACATACACCTGGGGATTCCTGGATTTGAAGTCAAATGTCAAGCACAAAGACTTGTCCTTGTGTTTATGCATTAACACTGTTCTGGAAATCAGAGTCCTACCAAGATTTTGAGTCTGAATGCTTAGGTGAACCCAAAGAGTTGGCCTCCCACTGTGCTTCTGTAATGTCTTTGCAATGCTTGTATACTCATATATTTTGTAAATGTTTCTCTCATCCATGCAAGGCCCTCCTCCCCTTCTCAATGCCAGGCTTGACTGGTCTGTGACAGCAGATGTTCTGCATGTCTTGACTCTGCCAGCTGTGGCCAGAGGTTCACAAGAGCCCCTGAATATTTCCCTTGTCCACTTCGAGGGACAATGTGACGGTGACTGCAATTCCTATAAAAGGGTTTGGATTCAAGCAGGCCAACTCAGAACAAGTCACAGGGTGACTTGGCCCCTCTCCTGAAGGCACCTTGAACGTATGCATGCATGGGTGACACGGGACAAGTTTGTTACGTGTACGTCTATCTGATGTGTGAAAGCATTTGATCGCATTGCAGATACAAGCCCTATCACAGATCCTGTTGAAGATCTTCCCTGTAGAGGTGCTTCATCAGAATGGCCTTTGGTCTCTGAGCACCAGCATATCTTGAATTGGTGCAGTTATTGCTAATGGGTCAGCCTTCCAACCCTGCTTACCTGCGCAAAAGCCTGCCCAATACAGGATCTGGGTCCCAGAGAGAATGGAAAGTAGGAGTAATATGGCCTATGAAGAAAAAAAAAAAGATCAGAACTGTCATTGCAAAGAAGAAGCAAGCATCTCATCACAACAGCAAGGAGATAGTTTAAATAGCATTTTGCCCATCTGAGTTGTTCAGAGTGCCTCCAAATTTGTATCTATGGTTCAGAGCGTTAGTGCAGCTTGGAAGCAAATTCCCAGTCATCTCCAGTTACTGTGTGCTGGCTGAGCTCACAGAGCAGTTCTGAAGTATGCAGACTTGATCTCTACACTGAATTTCAAATATGTTGTAAATGCCCATTAGCTCCTCATGAGGAGATAAAGATCCATCCAATTGTTTCTCTTTTGGACAGCTCTGAACCATATCAATGGACATGGAAATTTGGTCCAGTTGTCTAGCTTCATCCTAGTCTGAAATAAAACCTCTGAACCACAAACAGTAGAGACATAGGGGCCTCAACATCAACTGCTTTGACTCATTGCTCCCTCCTCGTACACTACTGCTCAGCACTTTAGGTGCAGCTTAGGCCTTTTGAGCCTATTGCAGAACATCATTTTATGCCTTTGGGTCCATATTCCCATCTCAGTTGTGGAGAAACTTCAGGCTGCTTGGGGTCAGGGCTTTCATATATTATAAGTTTGTATTGCAATAAGCTCAGTTTTCAACCTGTTTTTCACCCATAATTTTACCTCAGAATACATATTAAACATACATTAATATTGGGTTTTTTCCTTTTTTTTTTGTAAGTTATCATACAGTCTGAATAACTTCTGAAGAAATATTGGAAATTATTATTTTCTATTTGCACTTGAATAAGGCTTTAGTGTTACACATACAGAAACAAAAAAGTAATTTCATTCCACTTTTTACCCTGGAAACTATTCTTTATTAAATGCTTAATAACTTGGCAGTAAAAAGAAACTCACTTTGGTGCGTCTTTGCTAAATCGTTCTGGATTAAAAGTGAGTGGGTCCTTGAAGAACTTTTCCATTCTTCCCATTACATAAGTGCTGAACTATAAAGAAAGAGTTTATTTGAATTAATTAGGAGAAGCACACTGGAAATGTCTCTTTGCTGTCACAGATGCAAGTCTATTACTGCTTTCCAGTCCCCAGGCAGGGGTTGGTCTTGGTTCCCCTCACCAGGCCTCTCACAAAAACAGTTTATAGTCCCAATTCACACCTCAGGTTTGGGCAGAATTTCTCCAGGCCTGATTTCAATGCCTCCAATAGAATTATGCCCAGCGAGTACTTTAGCCCTCTGATATCCAGATCTGTTTAATTTGTACCCACTGCAGTAGCTAAAACCCACTGATGTATGGATGTTGCTGCTGGCCTCACATTAAGTGTCGTGTTTGCTGGAATCTTGATGCCATCAACTACAGTTTCTGTCTCTGTCCAGCGTAGAGTCCCTGGGATGGGTGGGTACAGTCGGAGAGATTCCTTCAAAACCTGTGTCAGCAAAAAGTACAAAGGGTCAGTTAAATAGTACAATAGATGAAGCAGAAATAAAACTCCTTCCCTATGGCTGTTGGCTAAAAAGCTAAAATAGGAACTTTTGACTTGTGAAAGCAATGCTGGCATTTCTCCCATGAATGTCTGTGGGCAAAATACAGGACAAAATTAGCTCCTTTATTTCAAACCTAGTTTCCAATCAAAAAAATTTTTTTTCCAATTTTTTTTTTTTCTAATGAAAAGAAATTCAGGGTCTCATATGCCACCAAGAGAAAATATCAAGTGACTGAGTAAGATGAATAGTACACAGAAGTAAAGCTGATGGCTGGTACAAAATTGCTGCCACTTTGTTGTTCTTAATGATATGGATATAAAGGGAATGTCCTTCTGATAGAGATTAACCTGAGAGTTGTAGACCTAAATCTTCTCTGAATTAGCATATGCCTAAGTACTTTCTTATGACTGGTAAAGTATAAAAAAAAAAAGAGAAATGAAAACCACAAGAGATACCATCATTGAACAGATTTAACCACTAACGTCAGGCCAACAACTATGTTAAAAATTACTGGAAAGGATATTCAGTGGCAAAATCTAAAGGTGACATTTCATGCTCACTCGGAGCTAATCTGAGAGATTGCTGCCACAAAAATGTGTAGTTGCTCCCATTCCTCCCTGCTCTCATCACCGTGTTCCCATTCCTGCTTTTATGCAGTTGCTGGTGCTTGGGGAGGCAATTCTTGAGCTGAGTCAGTTCATTGCACCAACTGACAAAAACAACCTAGCAAAGAAAAAGGAACAGTGGGGAAAATGGAATGAGACCATTTCTTTTGGTAGAAGTGAGCTGAAAGAATGGCTTTTTCATGGAAGGGAAGCCCAATTAACAGTGCCTATTAGCACTGCACTGTAAATGCAATTAATGGCATGTATGCACGAGTGAGTTTATGAAAAAGAAGGGTGGACTAAAGGATTCAGAATTGATTGGTGAGAGAGATGCCCTATGATCTCTGATGCTCCAGTGACAGACTGGCTCTCTGACCAAGAGTGACTGTGATTTTGCTTGTGCAGATCTCATGCTTTTTGCTGTTAAATAAACTGTCAGCTCAGAGAGGCTGTGTGTGATCTGCCTTAAAACGGAAATGTTTAGGATACATAGTTCCAGTTGGACTGGTGTAGTTGTGATGATATTTGGAGAAGTCTGAAGAAAGATGCAGATTCCTGCAAGCGCACAGAGATGTCTCTCTCATATGGGAAATTCTGATTATTATCCACATTCAGACCACAGTTACTTATGGCATGAGACATGGCAAATGTTAATATGTCATTACCCATTGCAACAGGGCAGTTTGAGATATGATTCAAAGAACAGGGAAATTTAAGCAGGAACAGTAGTTGCCAGGCCTGTGATTCAGCCTCTGCTGAAGGCTACTGGTGTCTCCCATCTTGTAAAAAAAAACCATAAAAAGACTGTCAAGTAACCATGCCTTAGCTGTACAGTTTGTTGTCAATCAGAATTTCTATATTTTGGGTAAGGACCAGATAATTTTTTTCAAGTGAAGAGGGTTTAAAACTGAACCCTAAAGAATAAAAATTGCAAAAAATAAACTGTATTTTAGGATGTTGCCGAATCCTGATCAGTTAATTGTACATGGTGAGATCATAGTTGGAAATGTTTTAGTAACAACCAAACAAAAATACATCAGTATGTTTGGGACTTGGGCAGGACTCATTCAAAGCTTGGGGTCAAAGTTGCAAACCCTTCTTAAAGTATGGCTACCATCTCAGTTTAAAATGGCAGGGATTGAGCAATTTGGCTCTGCCTCCCAGCTCGGTAATAATTATAGTAAGCAGCGAAACAACCGTGTTGGATTTCAGCATGAAATTCTAGAAGCAACCTTTGTGACAAGGCCCAGCTGCTGCAAAAGGCTCAGAGCACCTGTGTACTTCTTCAAGGACAAGGCCTGTCAGAATCCAGTGCTGATCTTACATGTTAGATGTAAGAAGCATGGGACAAGTCTTGGCAGTCACGACACAAGAGCACTACTAAAGCTCTGACTGATATTTAGTCTCCCTCCTACTGTACCTGTGATAAATACTTGAGCTTGCAAAGATCCTCATAGTCAATGTGTCTCTTGGCACCTATAACTTCATCCACTTCGGCCTGAAGTCTGCAGTTAAATTAAAAAACATTAGTTACAGATGCCCATTTCTTGTCAGGCAGTTTAACAAATTACTTTTTTTAACTTTCCACACATTGAGCTGGACTTTGATTTCTCTCCTCAGGCAAAACGCCTATTGATTCCCAGCCAGACTCCTGAACTTGTGCCTCATATGAGGATGTAATAGGTGGTATACAGGGAAAGGGAATCATGCAGGACCAACTTTGGACAAAGAAGACCTTTAAAAAAATCACTTAGATGGAATTAAAATAATTAATCTTTAAGTTTCTTTTTAAAAAATGATATATCGGACTACGAAACTTCAGTTTGAATCCATTGTTTGGAAAGAAGGCTATAATTTATTAGAAACTGATCCTAGATTTTAATCATCTTTATAATTATTAAATTCTTGAAAGTAACAGTATTGCTGGTCTTGTAAATTATAATGTACCTACCTTTCCAATATTTCAGGATGCTGAGCCACTGCCATTACTGTAAATGACAGCTGATTGGCAGTTGTTTCATGACCTAACAACACAAAAATCAGTTTAAAGATTAGTTTGAAATAAATATGGTATCTAGAAGGTTTAGTAGTGTTAATGTGACCAGCTTGCTTTAAATTCAGTCCCTGAATATTTAATTCAAAATACACAAGGGAGGGAAAGGGTAAAAGCAAAAGAGGAAAAAAAAACACTAAAAGGGGCACTATATTTATTCTGAGTGTTTCAAACACAAGACAGAACAGGTAAAGATACAAGCCATACAAATGAATGCAAATCTGCAGTTGATGCATATAGCACTTACTGCTCCATCATTTAAAAAGAGCTTGTTCATATTCAATATTTGCTGTGTAATATTATGGGACACTGTTCTGCTAACAAGTAAGAATACACTAGTTCTGAGAGCACACTGAGCTTCTAACAGGCTGTCTTTAACGTGTCTGTTTTCTGTGGATATTTTCCATTTTTCCATTGGTAGACATATATATACATAATTTAAAGCATTTCTGAGGTTAGATTTCTGTAAAGGTGCTATTGTGGAAAAGACAGGTTTTCTTTTTTCTCTTCTCTTCTCTTCTCTTCTCTTCTCTTCTCTTCTCTTCTCTTCTCTTCTCTTCTCTTCTCTTCTCTTCTCTTCGCAAAACATGTTCTGATTTCACCTTGTTGGGGACCTAAATCCTACTGATTTGCAGACAGATGAATGTTTCTAAGTCATTTACCTCACATATCATGTTGGTTTATGCTCTGTGGTTCTGACAGTGCCCTCTTTGTCTAAGCCCTGCGTAATGCCCTTAAGGGAAGAGTGGCATTCACATGTGTGGGTGAGGTGATGCAAAGGCATCCATAACATAGGAAAGATTCTTTCAGTGTGATTTAGCAGGAGCTGGGGAGAAAAGGCCAGAACTGTGTAAAGAATAGCAGAGCCCTGTAGACTGGAGCGTGGCATTATCCACTACTTTTAAAGGACAGAATAAGAGGATAAAATAGCATTTGCCTATCAGAAAGTCACAAAGCCTTTCTAACCTCATTCAAATGGTCTTATTCCAGAACAAGTCTGCTGTTTTCTGAAGTGACTCTAAGTTACAGCAGCCCCACAAGGAGCAAAGCCATTGCTGATGCTCCTGTTGACAGCTCAAGAATAAGTACAGCTTCCCATATTCGATATCCAAAAAATGAAATAGCTACCAACCAGCAACAAAGAAAGCAACGAAGTTATCCAGCATATTTTCATCATCTCTCATTTCCTTCAGAGCTGTCAGGACAAAAAAACAAAGTAAAATTAGAAAATTTCCCCAAATCCCAGTTGGAGTAGCTAGAATGATATGTCCTTCTTTGAGTATTTTATCTGAGGTAGAATTGGGAGGGCTTTCTGAGACAAGGCCAAGGGTGACTCGTGACCAATATTTGATCCAACATAAAGAAACCAGGAATGTATTCAAAGAGAAGGAATTTTCAAAACAAATGCCAATATGTCTCTTCAGTGTGATAAAACTTACACTCCTGAATACATTAAAAGAAGACTGAATGTCAATGTTCAGATCCCCAAAACAACCCTCCTCGGGAAGTATCAGGAAAAACATTCCACCAGCTAATTCACTCCAGCACCAGTGAGTTTCCTACCATCTCCTTTCAGTATCTGTGTAAGAATATCCATCGTGGCTTCCTTCCCGTTCTCGACGGCTTCTCTCCGTTGCTTAATGCATTCCCTGCCCACGCGGCGCAGCAGTCGCACACTTGCCTGGATCTCCTTTATCAGCTTCTGTTTTCCTGGCATGTACTGAATATAGAATCTCCTTAGTCATATTATTCCTTTAGCTGGTAAAAATATTGACAGTATTATTTGTCAAGTGAGGACTTCATTTTCTGTTAAATAACATTTTTCACAAGCACGTCTGCTCTCCTTGAAAAAGGTAAATGTCTCCGAAATGACTTGTTTTGGCTAAAGCAAGAAGCATTTCAAGCTGTGCATGCTGATGTCATGTCTTGCCAGAGCTAATGTTTTGAGAGGAGTGGACAAAATTTCTCACTTCCCCAAGGAAATAAATTGTAACAGGATATGGAGTCTAAACAGGGTCTTTGCCCTCCCTGTCCCCCAAAAAAGAGAAAATAAAAATATTAGAAACAGAATCACTAGGAGTCTGAACTACACCTTTCACAGAAGAAAAGTTTTATAAAATTATCAGAAAGATTTCAGATTTCATGCATAATTTTCTAAAACTTGAGTTTCGCTCCAAATCATATATTTTATGGAAAGTTCAAGTTTCTACCATACTGAATGAAAGCAGTCTTTCATAGACAGATGGGAAGGACTTCTCAGTTTTTGCAGTCATGGATGTGAAAATATAAAAAACTGAGAGAAGGTGAAAATGTATGCAGAGAGGAAGAGAAGGCAGAAAGACAGGAACAAAGCATTAAATAGTAATTTGGAAGTGTTTCAGAGCACTAGTAAATTTTATCCCAATGCATGCTTGAGGGAAGGAGTTACTGGCCACCCTTTCCATTTCATAGATGTCAGGAGAGTAGAGAGGTGAGTGAGTACAGACCTTGACGAAGGGGATGCGCGTCTCCGTCATTGCCTTCATGATCGTGGTCACAGCATTTGGAAAGGGTGTCTGGTCATCACTCAGCGTTTTCAATTCCAAGCCAAAAGCTACCTGAGGATAAAAAAGCAGCAACTCAATCCTCCGGGCTTTTGGGTCTGGGATGGGAGAGCAGGTCTCTTGCTGTAAAGCTGCCTGAGGCTAAACTCTGCCTTGTAGGTGTCTGTGAGGGAAGGGTAATATTTAGCTTAAGCTTCCTCCCTGTCTTGGGAGAATTAATAGGTTAATGCTACTACCTAGGCATTCCCAATGTGTTTCACATAATGAATGGAAACGCCAGTGTGAGGTATATTTCACACTGATGTAAAATGGTAATAAAAGAGCATGGACATGTGAATGAATAAATACTGCTGTGCCCCTTTGGGCTCGGAGGAGTGTTAGTTGTTAGATAGCACTGGCTTTTGCAAAGGGGCCCCTGCGCCACATACTGCAGGCCACTCATACCTAACCTGGACAGCCACCCCTTCCCTGAGCTGTCCCTTCCTGTGGGTTCCTCTGCCATTCCCCCGGCAAAAGTGGCACAATTTGTGTCTCAGCTATTCTGGCATTTCTGCATAAAGTTCTCGCAGCCTGCTCCAGCCTTCTGACAGTGTGCGCTCGCTGGTACCCTTCCACTCTTGTCTGCCAGTTGCAGAGGAAACAAGAAAGTAGCTGGTACCTTTGCAATGACATCCAAAGTCACTCGGCTCATCATCGTCAACATGCTAAACTCTTTTTTTCCTTCTGCCTTTTCCTCTAGCTTCTCCATCAGCTCCTCTGCTTTTTCATTAAAAGTTTCCATCAGACCAATCAGGTAGCTGAACAATTAATAAAGATGCATGACGGGGGCTTTGGGGAGCACATCTTTCCTCAGACAAATTTATCTGCTATATTTTCCATATAAAATCATAAATAAACTGTAAAATATTATTTTAACCTTAAATTTATTCATCTTAATTCATTTTGAAAATAAAGAGGTATAAAAGACCATTGCAAGATAGTATGCAAGACTGCAAAGCCAATTTTTTTTGAGTAGCCTGATAGAGTCCTAACATGTAAAGGCATGGCAAAGGGTTCTGGCCTTTGCTTGCCAAAGCAAATAGACTTCATCTTCCAACCATAAACGCAATGCATCTGTTTTATACAAGCACACATGAGCAGACCACATCACCCCCTGGTTATTGATCATGCCATGGGTTCCGCAGGGAATCACTGAGGCACATGGTGCTGGGGCTTGCCCACTTCCAGCACCTGATGTCTGTTTTCAGACAGGGTAAGACAGCTCTCACCACACTGAGGGGTGCAGAATTGTGGGACCTGCTCCTGCCACTGCTGAGCCTCATTCCCACATGGAAAATCTGGCCAAATTACAGTTTCATGGAAACGATGTGTTGTACTCCAAGTAAAATGTGATTTTGGCACTAAATGGGTTTGCTCATTCCAAATGTCAAGTGACAGATCAGTAACAGTAAGAATCATAAGAACACAGTAGAAATAACCAATAGATCATCACAGAGATATCTGCCTTACGTTCGGCTGAAAGCTGGGTCCATAATCTTCCGCTGCTTGTGCCAGCGTTCGTAGTTGCGCTCAGTTACCAAACTATTCCCAAGAAACCTATGATTTAGGAACACAGGGATAGGAACAGTTTTCAGCGGGGAACCTGTTGAAACCTGCATGGTCACAAGCATAACTCTTCCACATCTACTTTCTTGCATTTTTCCCACAGGCAGGGAGTATGATGCTGCTTTGAGTATGCAATCACTTTGTTTGAATTGATTTATGCACAGTAATACAACCACCAATGCTTTGCGGACAATTGTTGCTTATCTGCAACAAATGCAGGGAAGTTTTGCCTCATACATGTGGAATGCTGGGTCTAACAAGACCCTGGTTCGTTTCAGAGGTTCCCAAGAACCATTTTTATACCAATAACTAATATAGTAACTGGATTATTACATTTTTAGGAGATTTAGATTAACAGGGAAAATGCCCTTTTCCCTTCATTTAGCCTAATGAGAAATTCCAGTACACTAAGGAATAATTCAGTGCTCTAAATTCCACCTAAGAAGTTTGATGTGCCTTGAACAAGTTGCTCTGAGAGTAAATGAAAATCCCATACAACTATTCTTGTTTGGGAAGACATTTAACTTGACATGAGCAATTTCAGCGTAACTTAGTATATACCTGGTGCTTAACTGTGTCTAGAATTAGTCATGAATCTCAACAGAATAACAAAATCACAGAATAGTTAAGGTTGGAAGGGACCTCTAGAGATCACCTTGTCCAATCCCCCTGCTCCAGCAGGGACACCCAGAGCACGGGGCACTCAGTCGCATCCAGGAAGGTTTGGAAGACTTCGAGAAAAGGAGACTCTACAACCTCCCTGGGCAGCCTGTTCTAGGGCTCTGGCACCCTCACAGTGAGGAGGTTCTTCCTCACATGGAGTCAGAACTTCCTGTGTTTCAACTTACACCCATTAGCCCTTGTCCTATCACTGGCCACCACAAAGAAGAGTTTTGCCCCATCTTCTTTACATTCTCCCCTCAAGTACTTATTCATCAGATCTCCTCTCAATCTTCTCTTCTCCAAGCTAAACAGATCCAGCTCGCGTAGTCTTTCCTCATATGAGAGATGCTCCAGTCCCTGAATCATCTTTGTTGCTCTATGCTAGACCCTCTCTAGAAGCTCCACGTCCCTCTTATACTGGGGTGCCCAGAACTGCACACAGTACTCCAGGTGCAGCCTCACCAGAGCTGAGCAGAGGGGCAGAATCACCTCCCTCCACCTGCTAGCAACACTCCTCCTGATGCAGCCAGGATCCCATTGGCCTTCTTGGCCACGAGGGCACTGCTGACTCATGGTTAACTTGGTGTCAACCAGGACTCCCAGGTCCCTCTCTGTGGAGCTACTCTCCAGCAGGTCGACCCCTAATCTGTCCTGGTGCCTGGGGTTTTTCCTGCCCAGGTGCAGGACCCTGCACTTGTCCTTATTGAACCTCATGAGGTTCCTCTCTGCCCAACTCTCCAACTTGTCTAGATCCCTTTGAATGGCAGCACAGCCCTCCGGAGTGTCAGCCACTCCACTCAGCTTGCTATCATGTGCAACCTTGCTCAGGGTGCACTCTGTGCCCGCATCCAAACCATTGATGAATAAGTTGAACAGCACTGGACCCAGTATTGACCCCTGCAGGAGACCACCGGCCACAGGCCTCCAACTGAACTCGAATCCATTTATCACCACCCTCTGAGTTCTGCTATCCAGTCAGTTCTCAGTATTTCTCACTGTCCGCTCATCTAACCCACACTTCCTGAGCTTCCCCATGAGGATATTACGAGAGACAGTGTTGAAAGCCTTGCTGAAGTCAAGGTAGACAACATCCATGGATCTACCATTGTCCATCCAGCCCATCCTAGAAGGCTATCAGGTTCATCAAACATGAACCTTAGTGAATCCGTGCTGACTACTCCTAATCACCTTCTCTTCCCTCACATGCCTAGAGATGGTCTCTAGGATGAGCTGCTCCATCACGTTTCCAGGAATAGTGGTGAGACTGACTGACATACAGTTTCCTGAATCCTCCTTCACCCTTTTTGAAGACTGGAGTGACACCGGCTTTCTTCTAGTCCTCCGGCACATATTCTGCTCTTCATGACCTCTCAAAGATGATGGAGAACAGCTGAGCAACAACTCCTACCAGTTCTCTCAGCACTCTTGGGTGCATTCTATCTGGACCCCTACATTTATGGGTGTCCAGTAGAGTTTAGCAGCAGAGTCAATGCCCTGAGTCAAGGCAAATGTGATGCCTGTAACTTCATCTTTTTCCTACTTTCAGGTCAAAATGTCTTTGGATGGATTTTGCCTACCTTTCACCAAACAGGTTGCAGATATTATTGTACGTCCGTGGATCCTTTTGGTATTGAGGTGACATCAAGATTTCCTAAAATCAAATCTCATATTAGCAAGTACAGAAAGCAATCCATTTCCTACTGCAAGCATAACACAAAACACTTGCACATTTGTTCTTTCCTGCCAATGGCCAAAATCTGAAGGCTTCGCGAATTATTTGGTGTGCCCCGGTTTGTGGGCTTATAGCTTGTTCTGCATGTGTATAGCACTTTCTTCCCCAATGACCTCAGACATTGTGTCTATCACCAAGATTTAGAAGGTGAATCAGCCCCTTTGTACCTTGCTCTTTTGAGATATTAAGGTCTTGTACAATTTCAGAAACGGTGGGTGCTTGCTTGATCTGCAGCTTAAAGAAAGGTAACAAATTAAATCAAGCAAGAAGTAGATGTAGGACAGCCTAGAGTCCAGAGCAATGCCTCACCCTCATAACCTGGCTCAGAGCTGCACTCCCACGAGATTCAGGCTGACTGGATCATGCTGCTCTAAATATTACAGAGTACCTCTCTTTTCCCACGTGAATGGGCTGGTCCCCACTGTATATTCTATTTTATTTATTTACCTTCACTCCTTCAGGACTCAAAATCATCACTGAGACTCTGTGAAAAGCATTTAACCGTAAAATGGGTCCATATTTTTGTGCCCTACAAGAAGGGGAAAGAAAAACCAAACAGACAAACAAACAAACAAAAAAAAGAACAGAATTATGGTATAAGACATGAATATGTATCAGCGCAGACCTAATAACCTCAAAGGATTAAACTAAAATGTATTAGACCTACTGCTGTCTTGACTGAAAAACAAGAACTATCAATGCTCTGTTTCATCTGCTGACTTGCTGAATGATACTGAAAATGTAATTTAGTATTTCTGTACCTCGACTTCCCAATTTGTATTACAGGGCTACTTGATTCAAGTTACTGAAGTATCTCAACTTACCACTCCAGGAAGAGATCATGGATAAATTCATTTTTCTTCATCAGTCTCCACAAGATGGGCAGATGTCCAAGTAGAAAGCTGCAGAAAAAGAAGTGTCATGAGGAAGGCCAAATACTGATTTTAGGGCAGAAGGTCTCCAAAAGAATGTGGGATTGTCTCCAAGATCTTGTTCCAATGTGAGCTAGTGATGCAAAGAACATTTTGGAATGACACTTGCTCTTGTAAAAGAAATAATTTGATTTAAATCATGTCCAAGATCCTTCACTGAGTAAATCAGATGGAGTAAGAACAAGATCATTTCAGTGTCACTGTTTATATCCCCACATGTCCTGTGTGCTAATGTATCTCTGTTGCCCAGGGGATGAAGTTTGCATAGTACTTAAATTTTTCCTCAGTTTAAGAAAGATAAAAGTAATAGACAACTGAGGCCACAGCCCTTGCAAACTTGAGGACTGTGGTCACTCTGTGCAGTTTGCACACTGTCAGGAATATCAGGAAAAAAATGCAGAAATTAATAAAATGTACTAACTCTTTAAATACATCAGCTTTAGGCAACAGTCAGAGATCACTTTCTTGCTGGAGTTACGACTGGGGAATTCCCAGCAATTTTGTGTGCATCTGAAGGAGGATTTGGCTAAGTTCCTCTCTAGAAACAAGCAAGCTCTGCTTGAGATCTGTTTTCCAGCTGAGACAGATAGCCATGCTATCACTCTGTTCTGTACAAACAAGCTGTAGAAAACAAAAGCAAAAACAAAAACAAGCTTCTACTTTTTTTTTTTTTTTGATCCAGTAAGTGTTTAAATAGGAAGCACTCAACAAAATTATCCAATATCTCTTACAGAAGCTTAATCCTTCACTTCCACGGATCTCCTACTAGCAACTAGACTCCAGAAAGATATGAAAGCTCCATATAAAGCAGATAAATCCTTCATTAGCAAAGCTCTAGGAACAACTCTTTCTGGAGCATATGGTGCAAAGTTCTACTCATTGTGTAACCATTCGGTTGTGACAAATAAATCCTCAAAGATGTTTTTCTCTGTCCCATTAGTACCCTTCAACTGTGCAGAGACCTCATGAAAAATTGCCAGTATACCAAGGCTACAGGGCACATCCTCCTTTATCCTAGTTTCAGTCTACAGGCCATTGGGGAGGACCAAGGCTATGGTCATACTCTGGAGCAACCTGCCGCTCCTGATTTATTATGTTTTCTTTATTCATGTATAGCATTTGTGGCCTGCAAGATCTTGCACGTGGATAACGTCAAGCATATCTAGAAGAACTTGCAATGCTAAAGCTTGAATAGAGCAAGAAACACATGCTTCACTGACCATATTTGTATGTATTCGTACAGGTAGACAGTGCTAAACCTCAATTATCCTGCCCATAAACAGTGTGTTCTTAACAACAAAAGAGCAGAAGAGTAGAAGAAAGATTTTCGTAGCATGCATCCTGTGTATTATTTTGAGACAGTTGTCTTCTGGGGCTCTGCACTGAATCCTTTATAGCAGCTCAGAGGATTCTCTACTGGCTGTTGTAAAAGTAAGCTGAAGGATTTAAGAAACTTGTGGGAAACTTCAGTTTTCCTTTTCATGTGAAAAAGAGATCAATGGACTTAAAACATTAAACCTCTAAAGAGAGGTCATAATTATTATAACTTAAGGTATGTCATGATAAAACTAAGCAAGCGTTCAGTCTGTGATATAGCTTTATGTCACGCTATCACTATCCTTTTTTCCCCATTTTTCCCATTAAATTTCTACTATGAAATAAACCTATGAAGAAATAGCCTTATCTATTCAAATAGCCTTATCTATCTTACTATTCATGTGGTTAAAATGACACAAAGCCACTATGAGTCACTTTTTTCTGCCTGTTCTGCACAACAGTCTCCTTTACAGTTACATCGTGTTAACTCTGATAAAAGAAATCAGTACAAGAAATCAAGGATTAAAGGTTAATACAATCTTGTCATCATGCAGCCATAAGAGCTTACTCAAGGTCTGAGGTTTTGATAAGATCCTGTCCTACTTCATCCTAAAACAAGACTTCGTTATGTTGCTATCAAAGGCAAAGAGACGAGGTCAAATGCAAAATTGTGACTAACCAATAGACAGAACGATACAGGCCAAGGACTGACTGTCTGGGGAGCAGTGATGAACACTTGGCAAACTGAGATGGGTGTTGGGCTCTTGCCTGGCACCCAGGCGGTCCTTCACATTGCTGTGGAAAGTGGAGTTCATAGAATCATAGAATGCTTAAGGTTGGAAGGGACCTCAGAGGTCATCTAGTCCAACCCCCCTGCTCATGCAGGGTCACCTAGACCATGTGGCACAGGGCTGCGTCCAAGCGGGTTTTAAAGATCTTCAAAGAAGGAGACTCCACAACCTCTCTGGGCAGCCTGTGCCAGGGCTCTGTCACCCTCACTGTCAAAAAGTGTTTTCTCAAGTTCCTGTGGAACTTTTGGTGCCTCAGCTTGTGGCTGTTTCCTCCAGTCCTATCGCTGGCCACCACTGAAAAGAGGCCGGCCCCCTCCTCCTCACTGCCTCCCTTGAGGTATTTATACACGCTGATCAGGTCCCCCCTCAGCCTCCTCTTCTCCAGGCTGAACAGACCCAGCTCTCTCAGCCTTTGCTCATATGGCAGATGTTCCAGGCCTCTGATCATCCTGGTAGCCCTGCGCTGGACTCTCTCCAGCAGCTCCACATCCCTCTTGTACTAGGGAGCCCAGAACTGGACGCAGTCTCCAGGTGTGGCCTTACCAGGGCTGTGTAAAGGGGGACGATCACCTCTCTCGACCTGCTGGAGACGCTCTTCTTAATGCACCCCAGGATCCCATTGGCCTTCTTGGCCACCAGGGCACACTGCTGCCCCATGGTCATCTTGTCATCCACCATGACGCCGAGGTCTCTCTCTGCGGGGTTGCTCTCCAGCAGGTCACCCCTAATCTGTACTGGTGTCCAGGGTTATTCCTCCCCAAGTGCAGCACCCTGCACTTGCCCTTGTTGAACTTCATGAGGTTTCTAGCTGCCCAGTCATCCAGTCTGTCCAGGTCCCTCTGGATGGCAGCACAGCCCTCAGGGCTATCAGCTACTCCTCCCAGTTTGAAGAAGAAAAGGAAGAAAAGGAGGACACTTGGGTGTCCCATATCCCTGTGGAGCTAAGAGCAGCATAGGTGGCAGACTCCAGCTGCTGTACATTATTTAGCACAGGTGATTTTGCTGCTTCCCCTCTCTCCACCCACATGTGCAGAGGTCCTCCCTCAGGATACCTCCATCATGAAGACCAAGAAGATCACAGCCTTAAGGTCTTAAATTGTGGAGAAAGTGGAAGATATTGGTCTCTCTTTCTTTCTGACATCTAACTAAGAACACCATAGAGTTGCAAGTGTAATCTCTTTTCCCATTATTTTGTTTAACTGAAGTGGTTATATTTTACCAGGGAACCAACTCATCTAGGGGAAGCTTTCTATTCCATTCTATAACACCTCAGCAGTGGAGTGCTTAAATTTGGATGAACTATATGTTAGAACCAAAACACAGAATAATTTGGGTAGGCAAGGCCCTCTCAAGATGATGTGCCCAGTTCCCTGATCCCTGCAGGGCCAACTTCAGCGCTACTTTAGGTTACTCATAGCCTCTCCCAGTCAAGCTTTAAGTATCTGCAGAGATGGAAGGTCTCCGTGGGCAACTTGGTCAGCGTTTGAACACCACAAGGTAGAAGCTTTTCCTTCTAATTACCTGGAATTTCTCTTGTTTCACATTGTGACCATTATCCTTCATTCTCTTGCTGCATGTATCTAAGAAAATCTGGCTCCATCCATCACTCATAACCACGTGTTAGGTAGCTGAAGGCGGGAAGTGGATCTCCTCCATCCTTCAACAGCCCATCTGCCTCAGCATCAACTTGTACTCCCTGTGCTCCAGCCCCTCACCAAGCTGGTTGTCCTCCACTGGACTTGCTCTAGTTTGTCAACATCTTCCTGGTACTGTGATACCACTACCAAAGCAGTTGACTTCACCTCCTCTTTTTTTATATAAATTACTTGAAATAGGCGGAGGTGTTTGACCTTTGGATATTTAGAAGTGGAAATGCTTGCATAACAAGTATTCAAATGGGGACTTTGGACATTTCAGGCAAGCCACCGATTACATTTCTAAAAAGGTATCAGCTATCACGGACTTCCACTTGGATACAGCAGTACTAGAAACCTTCCTAGGAAGGACCTTCAGCTGAAATAAAGCCTCAAATCCCGATGAATAAATAGAAAAACAGCCACAGAGTTACTTAGAAGCCACCATTCTAGGATGTTACTTCCCACCCCAAAATGAATTTTGGGACAAGCGGAATCTGGTATGATCGGATCCATCATACCCTTAATCATAACATCTATCTCCAATTACAAGTAGGTTAAAAGCTGGAGCTAGGCAGCCAGCCTTGGTGCTCTTGTCTGACCCCTCACTTAAGAGCAGATTACGGTGGTGCCCACTCCCATGGCAGCATGGGCATGAGAGCCGAGGGCACATGCGCCCAGAGGTGAGGCTAAATGTGAAGCACATGCACTTCTGCAAGAACAGGGTCTCCTTGTGGTGCCACTACCGTGCAGCCAGACTTCTCACCACCCTCTGTAATTGCTGATATTTAGAGAAAGGGGGGAAAGCAAAGCCCTAAATTGGGAAGGGGATCCGGGGTTGGTGCCAGTGGCACAGCTGCCAGCCGAGGTGCCTCTTGGTGCTCTGCAGGAGGACAGGGTGGGCTGAGCATGGGAACATGCAAACTGGGGAGTCCTGAGCACGGCTTGGGTGCTGACACTTGCCAAAACCCCTCCAGGTAGCGGGTGGCAGGTGACAAGCAGAAAAGTAGTAGAGAAAGTTTGCAAGCTGGAACACCAGGATCCGAGGCACAAGATTCCCATTGAGTTGATGGGAACTCACCCATGTTCACCTAGAGCCCCTGCACCAGCAGTGTCCCCGGCATGACTATCCCATCTCACGACACGGATGCAGCTCTGTTCCTCCGTCTCGGAGCTGCATGGTCCCACCCTCCCTGAGCTCCCTCATGGAGCACAGACCCAAGTGTCCTCCTCTCCTCCCAGATCCCCAAGTGCCCACGTGCCCCCGTCCTGCCACCCAGCCCCGTACCTCTCGCGTGGGGCGCCGGGGATGTGGTCATATTTCATGTGGACCCAGTGCACGTATCCACAGTAAACAATGAAGGCCAGAAGCAGCGGTGCCAGGAGCAGGAGGGCTAGCATGACCAGGGACCCCAGCACCTCCATGGCCTCCGGGAGCCAGGCCCTGCGGGGCTGGTTTGTCGCTCTGGGCTGGATGAACTCCGACAACTCCGACTGCTCCGGCAGGGCTGGGCAGTCACTCCCGGTCAGATGAGCTCTGGATGTGGGAGGAACCTGGGAAGCAGCCAGGCCGAGCTTAAAGAGGCAGCACAGGCGACAGCAGAGCCCGGCCTCCCTCACCCGGGTGCCCTAGCCGCTCTGCCCTGCCCTGCACACCGTCCTCGGCACCTGAAAACTCCACCTTGTGATTAACTGGATACAGCAAAGCCCTCGGCAGGAGCATCCGCCTGGGGGGCTCAAGTGCTATCACACCTGCCCTATTCCTAATGTGAGGAGGCCCCAGGGGGCTTGGGCAGCTGGAGCACCTCAGGGATCCCGGGAGTGGTAGCCCTGGCTTTGGTAGCAGGACCACTAGAAACACAAATACAAGCCCAAAGAAACATGCGCACAAAAAGTATATGCATATTTCCATAGGGGAAAACGATGCCATCCTCAAGAGTTTAAATGCTTCTGCCCATCTAATGCATCAGTCACACGTCAGGCACCTCAGGTTGCTCATTTTGCCAGATATGAAAAAGCCTGCAAGTTTTCATGGATTTTCTTGGGTCCATTCCACTTATTTTTGAGCCTAGCAGATCAGAGACAGCAGAGAACTGCTATCAAAGCATCAGCAGCCTGTGATGGGTTAAGGTGAGGGGTTGTTATCTTTATTTTATTTTGGTTTCCAAAGGGTACATAATTTTGAATGAGCAGAACAAATACAACCTGGCCTTGTCATCATCTGATCTCCAACCTGTGCCCCACGTGGCACCTCTCTTGTGGGCTCATGTTGTGTAGCACAAATGATGAGTTTGCTGGTGCTGCTGTGTTATGTCTGGCTCCTGGGAAATGCTGCCATTTCATAATAGTGCAAAATGTTAGAAACCAAAGTCATTGGCTGTCAGTAGATGACAGAGCAAAAGCTGTTGTGTTTTAAAATATTACCTAGATTTCTGCTAAATTTAATTTTAACATTGATTTTCTTCCTTTTGTTTGAAAAAATTGCAACAATTGAGTGATTTCTCACTGTCTTTTACATATTAAGTCTCAATACTAGCTTTGTCTTTGCATCAATTTTGTTTACATGAAAATTGTTTTATTGAGAATCAACAATATTATGTAACTACTGTTTATCTTAATTAAAATGACTTTTTTTCTGTTGTTTGGGGTTTTATAACTACTTGTTTTCAGAAAAGAAAAAAGCTACATTATTTCCCATTTTGTCAGACAATATAACATGATCTCCTGATATGAATTGCAATCAGTGGGAAAGCAAAAATAGCATCACCCAGAGAAAGTGCTTAAAATATGAATCTAATCAATATCTTTAAAGCCACTCAATGAACTTCATGATGAAAGGTTGATTTTCTGAGTTTCATCAACCTTTTTTTTTCCAGAATTATTCAGTACTAGATTGTAACTATCTGTAATATATTCATTCATTTGAAATTGCTCTCAATAATTTCTGTGGAAAATTCCTGCTCCTGCTTTGTTTGTGAGCAGTTCACAGGGAGTATTTAATATGTGATAAAATATTTGGTATTTTATACATTTCGATGGAATAGAGTCCATGTAATAACTTTCTGATCCCTGATTAGAATGGACAGGCTCTCAGAATGAAGCTTCTCATGCAAATGTAATTATCAGTCAAAAACTCCCCTTTCTTTACTATACAGCCTAGGTAGATTGGAGATTATATTTCTGGCTTTAAAGATAAGCTTTAATAAAAAAGTTCTGTTTGTATTTTAACATGTTTCTATAACCTTGACTGAAGGACATGGTACAAAGTCACTATTGTATTTATTATCTAGCTACCCAGGACCTACATATTGCACAAAAAATCAGTGGAAACTTGGACCTGCTGAATTTTCCTGCCTGTCGCTTTTCTGCCGAGGACTGAACTGCCATCACGTGGACATTTCACCAACTTGCACATTCCTAGCAGTACAAAGAGCAAGAGACACTTGGGAACAGAACAGAAAAGCAGAGATATGGCAACTGGTAACTGATGCAAAGCTACAAGATGAATTTGAAAAATGCATAGGACACAGGATTAAACTAAACTCCTCTTCCCTTTTGCTTGTCTTCTCATTGTCATAAATTTTGAAAATATTCATTCCTCTCTCTTGAGAAGTCCAACATCATTCAGTCTGTATGTGAGGAAAGCAGGTAGAAGATGTGACACGGGCATCTCTTGTGCTTGGAAATGACTTCCCAGCTCTGCAGCACGTACTTGCCCAGGGGGCTGGGTATCGTGGGGCAGTTGCGAGTCTGCCAATAAAATTAATTGCTAAATAAAATGCTATTAATTTTATTGTTAAGTAGCTCCATCTGTTGTATGCTACTAGTTAACTGCACATGGCAATTAAATTAGCAACTCTATCAAAGTTACAGGCTAAAGCCTCACACCCCTGCCTAAAGGCCCATATGGAATTAATACGATATGGGGTTTACCATAAGCCATTTCATCCATTACAAAGGGAGGCACAAATTTAAGGGCTGCTCTTACCAGGTACATCCTCCTTTCCCATTCAGAAACATTGTCCAGGTGGACTCTGAGGACTAGCTGCTGTTTAAAGACTTTACTCTTTCTGTCCAGCTCAGGCAGCTCTACCACACACTGGGAAATGCCCCCCACAGGCATTTCCTACACCCCCATCACTTAAGACCTGGACATCTAACGATGTCCCAGATAGGCTGAGCTACGCAAGCTTCTGCACGTTCACAACCAGCACACAGGCACTGTGGAGTGTCTGAGCACACACCAGGATCAGAAAAATCCCAGTCAGAACCACCACTGCTCTCTACATGCTTTTGGATTACTATTTTACACGATCATCATCAACAAAAGTATCACATTATAATGAACACAGGGCTCTTTTTATAGCTACTAAATCTCATATAGCTACTAAGTGTTTACCAGCTGTTGGGGATAAGTTGGTGTTTGCTAGTAGCTCTTTACAGCCCTGCTGACTATGGGAACATTCAAATAACGTGATAAATCTTAAAAAATATCTACAGTTTCCAATATTTTTAACGTTTTTAATATGGTGATTATGTAGACATCATGCAGGAATGCAGATTTTTGTATAGCAGCTCTGAAAAATTTAAACTTTCTGTTTAAAGTGGAGATAAAAAACTTTCACTGTGCCTTTATACAGCATGCCTTGACTCTTAATTTGATGGCTTCAGTCTCGCATAACCACTATTTTGTGGCATATAATCAGCTGTTTTTAATAGTGCAAAAAGATCAAGTTCTCTGCTCCAACCACTGGAAAATTCAGGACAGAGAACTTACACTGGCAAGTGTTTTTACTAAGTGTTTTCAAAATCAAATCACTCACCATTGAATCTGAAATATTCTAAGACCTTAGACAGATTAATATTCTCTGTATCATTCAACATGGAATTAACACTTCACAATACTAGCAGACACTTATCCAGCTCAGCGGAACACTGTGCAAAGAATATAAGCAGATTTCAAAATATTCATTGAAATACACCTCCCAACCCCATCTTGCTATTCTGATGGCCAAGTAATTACATGTGATCTCCTTGTTCCTACTGTTATTATGACAGCTGGTGTGAAAAGCATTGAGGCAGACGAACCTATTTGCAGCAAGATCATACAGAATATTTTATAAAATATGAGAGAGCTATTTATCTTAAACCACCTCCCCTGGAACAACTAGTGATTGCTTCGCTATTACGCATCATCTGCAATATTCAAGATGATGTTTGCTGCTATGTCCTTACAGTTCTATTCATTCATATGCCATACTGAAAAAGAAAAAAGAAAAAAGAAAAAAAAAAAAAGAGATGAATACCTTAATCTAAATATTTAGTTATTTTTATTGCAAAAGACAAATTGCAGTATTATAAATAATACTACAAAATAGAGACTTAAATAGTGTTACCAGCACAATTACAAGAGATGATCTTATTTTAAATCCAGCTATTAATAAAATGTTACTTCTATTTCAAAATAATGATATAACTTTTCTCAGCATATGTGTGTGGATATATATATTTATATACATATAAATATACAATGTAAAGCAGTAGCCAAATTCTACTGTTATTTTTATCAGTGTAAATCATAATCAAGTCCATTCAACCCAAGGCTTCTCAGGTGTATTATAGGGTTTCTGGAAATAGAAAACCACCCACTATTTCAGCCTGATTTTCAAAGGACAGGAAAAAAAGAAAAGTGGCACCAAATTAGTAACAAAATCTGACCTTCCATTTGACACCGAGACAATCACATTGCCAAGTGGCACCTCTCTAAGTCACAGAGCCTGCCAGGGAACATTAGAGTTATCTTCAAGTGATGACACAGAAGGAAGCCCTGGACAAGTGAAGACTCAGCCTTGGTGTGGCACTGGGAACATGGCTGTGTCGTGTTCACCAGCACCTCGCAGCCAGCACAGCACCAAGGGGGAAAAAACCCCAAAAGATCTGAGATCTTCCTTTTGTAATAACAGTTTACAGGTAGTTTCCTCTCCCCCAGCTCTTCCCAAGCAAAGCCTCAGATGATGCAATGACAGCTCCAGCTGCTGGTACCACATCACAGACATCTCTACAGACCTTTGTGGTTCAAGAACTTCCCTTGTTGTCCTACACCTGGCAGGAGCCTCTGTGACAACAGTTCCCAGTGTGGCTCTGCTTTTCCTCAAATAACAACCAGTATATCCTAGCTGTCTGTGTGTACCATACTGTAATACAGTGATGCAAAGCTGGTCTAAGAAGTTGGCTTAAAAAACTGCTACATAGATGGGAAGGAAATACCTTGTGGGCTGCAAGTCATCTGGTATCTATCTAAAAACACAATACACGTTAAAAAAAAAAAAAAAAAAAAAAGTGGGCAGTCCAAATACAAGCAATACATTCACTGTGTTCAAAAGCAGTTGCACAAGAATTAAAAAAACAAAAAGCCTGTTGGGGGTTGCTCTAAGGATTTAAACAGCACAGGTCAGTTGTTGTCAATGCCAGGATATATTTCCATGTGCTTTCCTCGTTTATTTACTAGCGCAGATTGCAGCAAAAGAGAATCTTTGGAAATAGTTACACCCACGTGTGCACATCCAATCTTTCCTGGGGTCCCAGATTCATATATTTTCTGCTTTCTCAATGCAAAAGTTTTGTCTGTTTTATGAACACTTACCTTGTAAGTGCTACATTTTCTCTGATTGCCTGCTCTGACTTTCTGAAATGCCAGTTATTCCTGGTCATGGCTAGAGGCAGCCCAGCCTGCCCAGGTCATAAACTCGTCTACAAACAGCTGTCCCAGAGCATATGGTCATTTAACTGCTTGTAGGTAAAACCGCTCCTGTGCAGGCGGCAGGTTTCAGCACACAGTGCCCGGCCTCCCTGCACACCCAAACCATTTCACACGGTGCCATGCTGCCAGGGAGACCCTCCAAACTCCCCAAAACTCCACTCCTACTCCCCGAAAGCCAGTAAACAAGAATAACGCAGGCTGCTCCTTAAGGCTCGTAGTTAAGACAAGAGGTGACACCAACCATACACACTGTGGGGACGCAGCTTGGGTGCAGATCCCAAGCCCAGCCTTTAAAGGCCACCTTAATCACCCTAAGTCTTTGGGGTTTCCTTCTGCCTGGCTGTGTGAAAGAAGGTCTGTGAGAGCAATGCTGGTCACTGGCACCTTCCAAGGCCATCATATCCACCACGGCCAAGCTCGAAGCGTGTTGTGGTGGTGTTGTCTCATGCTCACATCTGGCACAGACAACAGCTCTCAGAAGACGAGCAACTGCTCATAACGAAGGAACTGAGGTAAACATTGATCTTTCGCAGCAAGTTTTGTCATTTGGCTACAGAAGTCAGCTCTACCTTTGCAAAACAAGATCTTCAGTGGATTCAGCTGTTTCTTAGCCAGCACTGCCACATGCAGATGTTTGCAGTGGCATTTCCCCTGAGTTGGTTGCCATCCAGCTCAGATGGAGCTGCAGAAGGATTAAGGGAGGCAAGTTGACCCTCCTCTGCCATTAAAACTTTGCAGCATACAGTGGGCGAGTGAAAAAGGGCCAAGAGCTTAGCAGTCACCATTGGCTGTGTCCCTGAAGAACAAGGTATTCAATGTCAGTACTTACAACAGCTAAACACTGGAGACCCCCCTTAACAACAGCATCTCTATTTCCATTGCTATTGTTAAGGAATGATGGCAATTTTCCATTTTAACTGCTTTCCTCGCTATGTTAAAACATTGCCCTAGGCAGCAGGACGGCTGCACTTGTGCCCCATAGTAAAGCCTAGACACAAAAATCCTCATGGAGGTCATGTAAAAAGCAACAAAATACTGACACGCATCGAGTGGGCTTGCAGTCTTACTTGTTTAACAGCAAAACTATGCATTACTCAAATATAAATTTGGAATGCAATTATTAGTTATCAAAGGGTAAATAAGCAGGGCCCTGCTGTGCTCAAGTAATCTGTGGGGAAATTTGTCTTTCTGACCCTTTGGAGAGAGCACAGTAAATCTATTAACATTCAATTTTTTGCCTAAAGATGTGTCTATACTGCAGAATGCAGAGATGCTCAGGCTGCCTGTGGGCACCAGAAGGTGAGCAAGTGAAAGAAAACTAAGCTCTTCATGTAGCTACACTACCTTGGAGAAGAAGAAAAGGAGGTAGCAAGGGTGGGTCTAGACAATTCCCTGAAAGGTTTGCTGCATCCTCCCTGAGATGTAGCTGCTCTGACATAACACATCTGCTTTACAACAGCGGAAGGAAAATTACAGATTCTCCAGTTTGTATCAGAGAGGTGAGATTAGGAGAGAAGAGATTAAACCATATTACTACCAGGCAGAAGTCAATGGCTCCTTTAACACAGAAAAAAAGCAGCTATACTGTGGTAAGCATCAATATTCTGGGCTATTTTGACACTTACCCTGAACCAGCATCATAACATGCTTTAAAATAAAGAAAACAAAGAAAAATACTGCCAGTAAAGATCCTATTAAATAGCAGAAAATGTATCAGGCATTTAAATGTACACGTACTTGTGTGCTTTGGATACTACAAGCTTGCTATAACTATCTTCCCACCTTCACAAAAATGCACTGAGCAGGCATGCACGCACATACGTGCCTGCACATACTCCGATGCTTCTGCTGCCTCTCTGCAATGCTCTTCCACTCAGTGTAGGCTGGGAGAAAGGACAAGAGGGAGAAGAGATATTTGCAAGACTCTGTCCTCCTCCACCACTAAATATTTCATCTGACCTTCGTGAGGCACCCACATAACTCCCTCTCTATACACCCAGGGCACACAGCTCTATATTTGCAAGGCCAGCTGCATCACTGCAAAGCTCTCTGCTGCCAGCAGCTGATCCTGGTGGGCTGGTTTCCATGTGCCTTAATCTGTCAACAGAGACTGTGCCATTAACTGATTGTCAGCTGTGGGCTGGTGGCAGTCAAAACCAGCAGCAGGCAAGAACTAGGTGGCCTTTGATGGTGCTCAGGAGGTTCAAATGGGCTAACATAGCAGAAGAGTAAGTAATAGTTAGATGAGAAAAAGAATACATAACTACCTGGAAAATGATGGTGAATATCAAATATATTTCTTCAATATTAAAAAAAAATGGTTATATCGGAAATTCCAGGAAAAAAAAAACTACTTAAAACAAATTTATTTACCATAGGCATTCAATACTTTGTATTTAAGAGGACATCACAAAGTTGAAATTGTAAATTAAAATAAATACCCAAATTGACATCTTGAGATATCGAGCCATGCTTATGGGCTTTGCTGGATGCACTATTCATTTTATGTTTGCTCTCTTTTGTCTTTTCCCATGGCTTTTGTGTGAGCAGTAAGATAAAATCTATCTTTATCATATTAGAAAAGCTAATAGGTAAAATGCTGCCAATGGTGAAACACTAAAAGAGGGAAACATCTGTTTCCAATTATTGGTGAAGTGAAAAACACATTTCAGACAAAATGAGATTTTTTAAGATCTCCTTTAAAAAGGTTATTGCAGGATTTTTACTCCAATACATCAAGTGTGGTCACACCTTTAAAACATGGATGCAAAAAAGGGTGGCTGCACAATATCAGAGAAAGCAGAGAAATAGGCACAAAGTGTTTTCAGGGTTACAATGGATTATGGTCCTGTGCATGTGCAAAAAGGTCTTTTTTTTTCACTTAGAATAGTGTAAACAGCAGAAATGCTTCCCAGGCAGTGGGCTATGATTTTTTTTTTTAAATTACTCAATTATTATTTAGATTATCTTTGACAACCAACAGACTTATACCAACTTAAGGCATTACAGGAGAATCATTGTCCTTTAAATTAGTGCACGGAGAGCTTACAAAAAAAGCAAAAAAAATACCCTCTGCTTTTGGATTTGGCAAAGAAAGGCGCCGACTCGCAGAGCGTGCAGGACCTGTGCCGGGCTACGAGCGGCAGAGCAAGCCAAGCGGTGCCAGCCGGGCCTGAGCAGGGGGCAAACGAGGCCACGAGCGCTTCTCTATTTTCAGCTACATATTGTGAAGCACGGCTGGGCAAACCTGGTATTATATTGAAAAAGATGGCAAGGTAAAAGGATGGATTTTTTTTTTTCTAATACATAAGTAGAAATATCGTCAGTTGTGATGATGTTTGGGGGCGTTATCCTTCTTAAAAAAACTCAAAATTATAATAAAAAATAATCCAGATAAACCCTGTCCCTTCTCAGGGACATTCTCAAGTCACTACTTGGCCTTACTTTTCCCCTCAGTGCAGATAAGAGCAGCAGAGGAAACCAAGCCACCTTGAGTGCTCAGGGCAGGAGCCATGTCCTCTGTGGAGCACCGTGCCCAGCACCCACGCTGCTCCGGAGGGGACGCCGGGAAACGGATGCTCTGGCATCCCATCCCAGCTCGGTGTCACCATCCCTCCTCCCCCTCCTCCTCCTCCGGTCGGTGGCTGCACACGACGCCGGCGTCCTCCTCGTGGGTGCAGTCGTGGGCGCCGAGGCCGGCGTGGGCGCACTCGAGGAGGCCGCGCTCGCGCCCGGAGCAGCGCACGTCGTCCAGCAGGATGGGCAGCCGGCTGCCAGCGCCGAACTCCGCCTTCTTGCTGGCGCGCACGGCGCGCGCGAAGCCCAGCTGGCGGCACACGACGGCGGCCGCCGCGGCGCCCCAGCCATCGTCGCACACCGTGCCCCAGCGGCCCTCGGCGTGCACCTCCACGCGGCCCCGGTCCCGCTCAGGGCCCCGCTCACCGGCCAGCCGCACGGCGCCGTCACGCGGCGGCCCTGACGGCTTCTTCTTCTTCCTCCGCTGGCCTCGCCGGGCGCCGCCGCCTGGACGGGGCCTGGCGGCCGTGGTGGTGGTGGTGGTGGTGGTGGTGGTGGTAGTGGGTGCTGGGGTCTCCAGACTCAGTGTAGGGGTTTCCACTATCAGCTCTGAAAGACACAGGCAAACGTGAGACGGAGATTTTGTGACAACAGCTAAAAATAATCCCATAAAACAACCCTTAAAAGCTTTCAGCTTTTTTAACCCCGCTCTTTGCTTCCTTGAGCCTGTTGAGGAGTGGCAACCTTTCTGGCGAGCCAGGGTTTCCTCAGCTAAACACATCTCCTGGGAGGCCTGCACCACTTGTTGCCTGCCCCGAGACAAAAATGTCGCCAAATTTCCAAGGTTACCAAATTTCCAATTGCAGACAGAGCTGCAGCAGCAACGCTATCGTGTCAGGGCTGGAGCTTTACCGGGAGAAGAGGGGCTCCCCCTTGGAGAGACGCACAAAGGCTTCTTGGAGACATGCACGATTTTGGCTGTTCTCCTCGTTGCTAATGATTGCGCTGTTAGCAAGGGCCGCGAGAGCTCTGGCCTCCCCACTGTGCCACATGCTCTATTCCGAGTGGCTGGAATCAGGAGCATTCAAAAAAGCAAATCTCTCTGGTGACTGGAACGTGGAAAAGGAACGGGGTTGCCAGGACAACACATAAAACAGGATTTGGGGTTGTGTTTTTCTTCCTTTTTAAAAAAAAGAAAACAGCCTTGAACTCTAAAGAGCTTAAAATTCCTGACTGTCACTGTTTCCAGGCGTCCCTGCACTTGCTTATTGTTCACAGGTGCTCCATTTTTAGCTTAAAAACGTATTTTAGCTTGTCAAAAGGAAGTAATTTGGAATTGCTCCAAATCATAATCAGCTGAGTTGTGACAGTGCCATATGCATTTGCAAGACACTTTGATAAAGACTTTTTGAATTTCATCCTAGATTTATCCTTCATTCTCATTCATCATTGGCTTTGCAGTTTAGGGACTGGGAAAAATGTAACAATCAAAGCCTTCTTAACATTACTTAATATCCATTATCCCAAAAGGCAAACCTTTGCAATAGCCCAGTTTATGGAAAAGTCTCTCAAAAATCTCCTATTTGGAGAAATATTCTACTTCTGATATCAAAAGTCTTTCCTTTTCTGAGAGTTGAGGTTTTGAAAACAAGAACACATGCGAGTCTGACCCATGCACAGCTCTGTCTTGGGAAACCGACCAAGCTAGCAAAGCTGCTAACAATTCTGGAAATCATATAACAATATATAGGATTGCAGGAAAGCTAATTGTCACCTGAGAACTACTATTACATACTTTTCTTCCCCAAACTATTTATTAAATATATTTCCAAGAAATGCACTCATTCAATTAACATAAGTTGCACACTTTAGTAATTCTGTAGCATTCACATTAAACACTAGCCAAAACAGCAAAATATTTACTGCTATACATCCTCGTCTCCATACTTCTAAGCTAAGATGTTTATGCTTGTTTTTCACCTATACCTGAATTTAATTCGTGAATTGCTTGGAGGAACCTATCCCACTATTTGTAGGTTTTAATTTGTGGTAAAAGAAACACTTTTGCCTTGAAAAGAAACAAACTAAGTAAAAAATAAAAAGATTTAGTTATATAATTTTTTAAAATTGAATTTTGGAGGTTTGCATAGAAAATAACCCCTAACAAAAAACAGAGACAGAACTGGTTGAATATGAGCAAAATTAATAACGTTTGAAAACTGTGCACAGAGCTTGCACAGTGAAGTGTTTCCAAATGCACGTCAGCAGCTAATACTTAGCCTTGTTTGTTCCACCTTAAGAGATCTAATCTCATAAGGTGCTGAGTGCCTTCATTCCTTCACCAAGTTAAAGCTGTAGGAGCTGTCAATGATTCAAATATAGCGTAACACAATTAACGTAATTAAAAATTAAATAAGAGTATACAAACTTCAATGTTCCTGCAGTAATATTAACTTAATTGCAAGCTTGTTAGAGCACAATGCATGTAAATAAAATACATTGCAGAAAAGAAATAAGATACTGCCAAGCCTAATTTGGGGAACCTATTAGTGCATTTAGTGCTTTGCTTTTATAACAGAAATTACACTTGGTTTGCTGCAGATTCATCTACATCTTTTCCTACTCCAGTTTTAGCAGCACAATACCGTATTCAGTAAGAGGCAATCAAAACGCCCTTGGGGGTCTGAGTAAAACAAAAGTTCACCTGAATAGCTGATGAGGCTATCTTTTGGGATCATTTTCTCATCACATTTTCTCTTACATACAGACAGCTGTGACTCAGACCTCATCTTGCGCAATGAGCTATTTCCCAACCTTCTAGCCATAATATCCTTCACCTCTTGAAGTGCTCCTCACTCCCTAAAGGTATTGCAAAAATCACTTATTACTAGAAAGTCACATACGGGATCTCAGTACTGAAACACTTATGAGGACATCACATTGTGCATTATAAAAGGGCCCTGTTATTTTGCAGCATGGAAAATGTATAGGGGCAGAACATATAAAGCTTTAATTTGGACAGGAGAGAGGAAATCACTCTTATCTCCCAGATTAGGTGAGCAAACTCCTCATCTTCAAAATACTTGGCAAAAATTTAGAGGTTACTTTGGCTACTTAGGCTTAGAGGCTACTCTTAGAGGGCATGGCCATAAACTGAAGCATCAAAAGTTCCACAGGAACTTAAGAACTTCCTTCCTGTGAGGGTGACAGAGCACTGGAACAGGTTGCCAATTGAGGGTGTGGAGTCTCCTTCTCTGGAGATCTTGAAAACCTGCTTGGACGCAGCCCTGTACCACATGCTTTAGGAGACCCTGCGAGAACAGGGGGGTTGGATAAGTGATCTCTAAAGGTTCCTTCCAACCTTAAGGATTCTATGATTCTGTGATTCTACTTGGAAGACTGACGTTCTAAGTGGTCTCCAAACATCCAGAGATAGTACAAGCTCTGATTTTATTGTCAGAGCCAACTAACATATATCAATAAGAAGCAGCAATAATGACACTTACTCTCCTTTGGCACAAACTTTATGAGCTTGCTTTTCACTTTCACTGGTAAAGGCTCAACTCGGCATTTTCCCGGTGGTGCTCTCCTGTGAAAAAAAGGGACACAGACGGCGAACAATCAATTCCTTTCCAGTGGCGTCATGAGCCCTTGCTTCCAATTGCTTTTCAACTACTAAAGCTCTTTGCGGGGAAAAGAATAAATAAAAAAAGTCTGTTTAAATGATCCAAATAATCTCTTATAGTAGAACACATAATTAAACAACCACATCTCCATTGATCAAAGTCCAAATCTTCACAAGTCAATGGAGTCTGCTGGCCGTGTTTTCACTTGCCATTGATGAATCCATTAAGAAAAAAAAGAAAAAAAAATTGGCAGACTCGAGCAATACAGAAAGAGATTAATCAAGTTGAAAATAGAGATCACAAAGCTAGACAATATATTGAATATGATACAAAAATCATGTGTGCACAACTTTTCAAGCTGTCTTAAAAGTAGCACTATGACACTAATATTCATATATTATTAACATAAAGGAAAAAGAAAAGACTTCCCCTTTTGTCACTGGCAGGTGAAAAATTTCCTACGGAACATACAGAGTTCTGCAATTTATCACTGTAAGGTATCATTTTAGTAGTTCCAAAAAGGCATTACTTTCAAACAAGACATTATCACTCTAAGTGCCTCCCACAGAGGCTTTCTCTTAAAATGACATGTTACTTTGATAGAATTTTGTCTCCTGAGAAGTTTTTTGCTCCTGAAAAGTTGCAATGAGTTCACTGCTTTTTCTTGCGATGGTTGCCTCGCTCATTTGCAGGCTCTCGGGCAAGATTTCCAAAACTGTTTTAAAAATGCATTCTGGTTGCATTTGGAAGATATAACTCCTGTGTAATTCACATAGCTTGAATTTACATTTCTGTCCACAAACAAAGAATTTGTCTCCTGGCTACTCTCACAGAGACATTACATAGTTACATAAATTTTCTTGGAAGGTCTTTCTTTTTCCTATTCTGTTCTATATTCTACACTTTACTAAAGATACTTCTTTTTAAAATTAAATTTATTAAAGAGACTTCTTTTTACATTTAAACTTATGACTGTCTTTTTCTGTTTTTTTTTATTTTTGCAGAAATTGTGCAATACAGGCCTCAACATATACTTTACAGGAACTATTCTACTGCATTAGGTAATGGAAAATGCTACTGTTGGAGGAGAAGTCAAAGGGAAAAATGAGGAAGTTCTGGGGCTGCTTCCAACATATAAATATAAAAGTGAGCTGACTTCAAAACAATGCTCAGATGGCTAAAGCTGTAACCATACTTCATTAAAAAAATAAAAGCAAAAGCTTACAAAGTCTCATTCGACAGTGCTAGCTGAAAGTACTTTGGTGTTTAGCCAATAACAATAATGTTTAATAAACAGGAAGCTTGAAAAAAAAAGCTGTAAGTCTTCCTGTAAAACACTAATTTTCCTTGCCTTACCCAGTCTCAAGTACAAACACATGGGATTCAGAGCGAGAAACGATGGTCTTAGATAGGAAAGTGATTTGCACATGAACGAAAACACAGGAACAAGTGTATTTTTTTGACCTTTTTTTTTTGTATTTTTTCTACTTTGTCTAGGAAAGCCCTACAGCTCATGTTGGGCCAGCTTCATCTGCAGCTGTGTGCATGGGGCTCTCGTGAGTGATGGAGCAGGTCTGAGAAAAAAATCCTTGACAAAAACTGCTTTGTTGCAGACAGAAGCCTCAGGAAAGACTGTCTGGGAAAGACAAGAAACCCATAAGACACTTCTCCAGCTTCCAGGAACAAATCCCCCAGCCAGCACAGTGCCAACAAGCTCCACAAGGAACCAGCATGTGAATGTTGGTCAATGCAGCTGCCGATGACTGTGGGAGCAGAGCAACCAGCAACGTGTTGCTCCAGCCACTCCTTGACCTGGCTCAACAAAGGGGCTATTTCCTTGGTCAACATCATTTACCACATTCGAACCTGGACCAGAGCACCAAAGCTGAGCTTTGCCATAGGAACATCTCGTACCTAGAGGTGTCCACCACTTTGTAAATCACTCCAGCACGAGCAGTGGCACTTGGTACGCCGGTAGACATGAAGTAAAGCTCCCCTAAGGAGAAAGAACCAGACAAACACAGCCATGAGCACTTTCCATGGAGCTGCAGCACTGCTCAGCACAAAGGCACTAACTCTGCCTTGTAGACCAGAGAGCACTGAGAAAGCTGGGGCTGAAGCAGAGATATCTGGCTCCCAAAGCAAACCCCTCAGGTTTATATTTGGGTTTGTAATGAAAGTCCATGCACATTCCAACGGCATAAAAAATCCTCCGTGACTGTGCACATTAACGTATTATTATGAAACACTATTTTGACAAACTTCCACTGCCCAGCCTTTAGCTGTCATTTCAGTCAAATTTGTGTTCTTTAACTTCACTAATGCAAAATAATCAAACCCTGAATTTCATTTGTCAAAACATAATGAAAGTAAATTAAGACTGTTCACAACTATCTTCTGCTTTTTTCGATTAAGGGCTCCTTTGGGGTGAATTACAGAAGAAAAAATATTTTGCTTTTGCTTCCCCAGCTCACTCACAAAGTGAGCTGTATCTCACAGAAAAGGCATGCAGGCTTGCCGCAGCTCTGTCAAGCCACACGGGCAGGGCTGGACCTTCAGTCGGGCAATATCCCTCACTATTTATTCGGGGCATTTTCTCCTAGCGGGGTTTCCGTCCCGCTCCTCCGGCTGTGCCGAGGAAGCCAACACTAAACTGCTGGCAGCACAAGCAGTCCCCTCCGGCGCTCCCCTCCGCTTCTGCCAGCACAAGTGTGTGTGAGGTGCAATGAAAAAGGATGGGGAAGCTGATCTGGCTGCAAGAAAAAAAATAATGGAAATATTTTTCTTAAAAGGGGGAGTGGGGCTAAGGAGACAACTGAGACGTGCTCAGTGAGGGTAGGAGGAGACCCAAAGGAGGACTGAAAGGGAAAAGGAGCAGCCTTAGTCCAAATAGTGATGTGAAATATTCCTGGCAGTGTGTCCTGCAGCACAGGAAGGGGTCCTTCTCCATCTTTCTTTCCTGGAAATTATCAGGAAGAACTTAGCAGCATTAAAATAAATGGTGTGGTAAACTCATAAAACCAGACTCCTCACAAAGCAAAAAGGGGCAAGACTAGTCATTGCAGATAAAGAAAACTCATTGAACTGTTATCAATACTTTTTTCCTACTGAAATAAAATAAATACAAAATAAATTAAATACAAAACAAAATGAATAAAAAACTCCCCCTGAGAAGAGACTGGTGGCCGGAGTTTCCACCCACCTCTATTATATTTATGGAAACCATGTGTGAACGGCCCCAAGGCAGGAGGAGGCTGCCGGGAAGGGCGGCACAGCCGCTCACCCTTCTTTTGGGCTGGTAACAAGGTGCCTGTGCCAACACATTCACCTCGGCTTCTTCATCTCCTCCTCTGCAAGTCACAGGAGCTCCTTCCTCAAAGGTAAAACATCTCAAGTGTTAAAAACACAGCTATGTAAAACTTCACAGAGGCCACATCTCCCAGTCCTGTATGAGGCAAAATCCAGAGCGATGCAAAAAACCCTGCAGCCTTTGGCAGATGCCTCATGCAAGACCTAAAGTAGAGATGTCAATCCACTCCACCTTGAGATGTACAAAAATTCCAGGCCACTACAAGCAAGTTCATAATTAGTTGTTTGTTTTATCTACTTTCCCATATCCATTAATGCTAATAGATTTCTCTAGCCCAAAGCACAAACTTGTCATATTATCTTCCTCTCACTTCAGTAGCAGCTTATCAGCCTCCGGGGGCCTACATACCCCAAGGCATTTCACAGTGAAGCCTGAGGTTTCTTTCCTGAGTCAGGTTTTCATGCATTTGCCCTCAGCTGATAGCTTTGCACAAAGGGCGCCTCAGGAGCCAGGCAGGGAACCACCTCTCCCAGTTCCTGGTTCAGTCACTGTGCAGTTACCCGCTCAGGGACCCGACGAAGAGCATTTGGTGGCTTCAGTTTGATACTGAGAAGAAGCTGTGAGTGAAACCCACAGGTGCTTGAAAGACCAACAGCCTCATGCTCTGTCACCTGCCTCCCAGAAGGAGCCCTCTCTGACGAGCCACAATAAGCAAACGGCTCAAAGTGAGATAACACTAACCACTTACCTGCTTCATCCTCAGCAAAAGAGATGATATATTGGTAATAGTTATTGATAAGCCCGGGGAACATGCAGGTCTGTCCCGTGCCCATGCAGATTTCGCTGTACTGCCACTCGCCGGTAGCGTGGTCCTCCTTCAAAGACATCAGCCGGCTGCAAGGCAAAAATAATCGGCATCAAGTAGCCAGGACGAAGGTTTTACGGACATCTGTCAGAAAAATTAAAAGGATGCTTTGTACTCGATTTAGTTGTGATAGAAACTGCCGGTGAGTGAATGTGATTCGAGCAGCGGGCACACAGACCACCTGGGGTGTGAGGGGGAGAGAGAATCTGAGCTGAAAGCGGGGGAGATACCGGTACAGTTGGGAGAGGAGGTGAGGGAAAACGAGTCAGTCTCTTGCCTCATCATGGGTTCACATCAGATCCACTACTGGGCAATTTAAAGTATCTTCTGTGTCTGGAAATGCCAAAACAGGAGGTTTCTTTAGACGACAGTAGATTTTTTTATATGATTTTCAGGGTTTTCATCAAACCTCTTGTCCCCAGCCTTTCCTTTGCACTGACACCGTGTGTACCAGCAACATCTATGGCTGCTGGAAGGTGAAGACTGCATTGCTGTGCCCCAGCACAGAATAGAAATCCACAAAGCACAACATGTGAGTCACCTGAATTAAGCAGCTGGGCTTTGTACAGGATGTGTAACCAGCACCTAGCAGCAAAGCCAGCAAAGGTCAGACTGCAAGAGCACTTGTAAACAGACGTAGTATCAATAGAGGCCATTGCCTGGGCCTCTATTCAAAAGCATTCAAGAAGTTTTTAGCAAGCATTCAAAAAACTACTTACCCACTCATAAAATCACCAAATATGTACAGGCCATTCAGGTTTGGAGACTCACAACCCCGATAGACATAGCCTCCCGTAACAGACTTGCCCATCTTGTGTGGATAAGCATAAATCGGAAGCACGTCATCTGTGAAGGTGAAAAGATATGTGGCTTGTTGTACGATGCAAAACGGCTGTTTATATAGCTCTTGTGAGGCTATCGTGATACAAACAGTTTTATTTGTGCATCTGCTGGTTAAATCAGCTGCTGATGGAGCCAAATGGTGTTCCCCTTTCACCTTTCCAGAGTGCTATTCAGTAGCCCATCTGGGTGTTGGTGCAGACCAAGGAGAGGCTAGCTCAGCCTGAGCCTGGCCAACGTTTCACTTGCAACCTGTCTCTATTAGTGGTCAATTTCTAAACAGTTTGACTATTTTTAAAATCAATTTGGAGGTTACTTTTAGACATACTGCATCCATGCAGATGCTTGCCTTGTTTTGGTGGCAAAAGAGAGACAGTGACAGGTGATTCAGTCAGATTCTGTCAGCACCAAGATCTTGTGTTTCATCTTAACCTGAAAGAGCCATAAAATACTTACGGTATGGCACAGGCAGGATGTAGTATCGCCACGTTCATTGAACAATGCAAGCTAAAACACAAGAGAGTGGGAAAACAGAGGGAGCTGCCCTCATTTTGATGCTCTCTGAGGTCCCTCCTGGGTGGGTCCCCGTCCGTCTTTCCCCTCGGGGACACATGTACGTCTTATCCGTGCTCACCCCACTCCTTCTTCATGGTGTTTCTCCCTGCCCTACATTTCAAACGTCCAGACATGAGGCTCAATGTGTGCCCATCCTTCATGTCCTGGCTACGTTCAGGCTACTTGCCCCACAGCAGTGCCAGCCCGTGGCTATGATGCCCTCTGCACCAGACACATCAGCTAAAGCAAGTGCCTTGTTTGCATGGGCTGTGACACTTTGGGGCTGTGACACTTCGCTGTTCTGATAAAAGGCTCTCTGAAGGCCTCAGCAAGCATCCTGAATCCCTGGGGAGCTCAGCAAAGTGCTCAGCTCGAAGGCAAACAGAGGCACTGACACACGGGAGAGCTTCCAGGGAGCTCTCTGAGAACTGCTTCAGCAAAGGAGGTGCAAAAAAGCTGCTCTGCACTCTCAACATTTTTAAGGAAATCCTCACATCACTACCACTTCACTTACATCTAAGTTAATAAAAGGCAGCAAGTTAAACAACATCACAGGGCACATAGAAGAGAAAAGAAAAATCAGAATCTCAGTGCAAATTGGGGCCAGTTCACTGGCTTCCCTGGTCTGTGGGAATATTGCAGCACAAGATGTGGACCAAATCAGAGCTGGCAACACAACATGCTCTTCCTTGGCACATGCACCAGAGTCCAGAGAGATGGCAAATACACTGATTTCAAGTCTCAAAAGCAAAAACAAAGAGAAAAAAAAAAAGAAAAAAGAAATTGGTGTTTTTCTTTTTGGGTTAGTTAAAAGAAATAAAAGCATTCTGTATGTGCTGATACTTGTAAAGCAGTAGTGTGCATATTAGCTGGTCAGCTTACAGTTATATATTGTTTTTTTCTTTTAAATAAGGACACTACTTCAGAGCTGTGAACAAAATTACAAATTCTTGAGATTGCTCTTCCTTCTCCCGGAAATCTTATCTCAGATGACAAAGATGAAACTATCTCTCAAATCACAGAATCACCAGAAACATTTGACCAAAGTGCAGATATGGTCCAGAACCACAGTACCAAGTACATTTAATTTTTCTCCTAACTCAATAATAGTAGTATTTGAACTTCTAATATTTTTCTCCAGGCCACTTCCACTCTAGATGGAGACTGCACAGATTTACGTCCTTAAAATGTATGTTTGCAACCAAGCAGCCAGCCTTGGAAGGCAGAAATTAAAAACGAACGTGAGGAGAATTTCCCAGTGGGAGAGGAAGGTAATTTAAACTGAACGTGTATTTACCTATTGAAGAATTAGTGCAAAGCTTTTTATCGTAACAGCTGAACCCTTCCCTGGCCCTCCAGCCGTAGTTTTTCCCTTTCTCCACGATGTCGATTTCTTCGTATTTATTCTGCCCCACATCGCCGCAGAAGAGGCGGCCCTTCCCTTCCTTCGTGTGGGGCTCGCCCCGGTCGAACGAGCAGCGCCACATGTTCCTCACGCCGTACGCGTAGACTTCGGGGCGAGCTCCGGGCTCGTCCACAAACGGGTTGTCCGGGGGGATCCTGTAGAGAGGCCCTCGGTCGTTGTTGTCCACATCGATCCGTAACACTTTGCCCAACAATGTGGATCTAGGTTTGGAAAAGAAAGGGAGAGAACACAGGTCTTTCAATATGCCAGAGAAAAACAACCAACCCACCCACTGGAGGCTCTTAGGGATTGATGGGTGAGGTCTGACACTAACCGTGGCTTGGCGGGACACTCAACAGAGCAGCCTGTGGGTACTCAAGCTCCCACAAGCAGCTTAAAAAATGATGGTCTTGATCCCGCCAGCGTTCCCACACACCAGCACACGCCCGGCTTTGCTGGCCTGAATAAGACCAGTCACGGGAGAAAAATGGGCAGAGAGCCGGAGCTGGCAGGACTGGGGCCAAAGTTAATTTACTCTTCACGCCAGCTGCCAGGGGCCGGTGCAGGAGCACGGCACGGGCGCCGCAGCAGGGCCAGCAACGCGGGGGCCACAGGGCCGCATGCGGCTCCCTCGCGCCTCGGCGCTGCCGGCGCGCGTGCCGGCTGTGCCAGCGGTTTTGTGCTCCCGACGTTGATGCACGAGTGCTCGCACGGGGACCGTTTCATTCGACATGGGCCGCTGAGCAGCCTTCAGATGGTAATGACCTCGCCTGCCCACATGCCTGGCAGGCTTCAGCTCGTCGCTTGGAGGGGAACGTGGGCATCGCTCCGCTCTTCCCGTTTCATTGACCCCTCCGTTTGCCAGAAAAAGAAAAAGATCTCAGAGAAAAAGAAAAAGGGAGGTTCCGTGAGTTATCATTTCTTGCTGGAGAAAAGAAACAGTACAACAAGCTCCTCTATGGAGGAGTCGTGTTGGAGGCCAACACACACCCACGCCTGCACAAGCACCAGCAAAGACACAGCACGAGACACGCACGGTGCACACGAAGCTTGAGGGGCTCATACTTGTTCTGGGCATTTCCGAAGGTCCCAAAAGGATCCCCAGCCATGCCTCCATCTCCAGTAAATATATAGAGATAACCATCATCTCCAAAGAGCAGCTCTCCTCCGTTATGATTGGAAGCCGGTTCTTCCACTTCCAGGATTATCCTAGTCAGAAACAGCAACGAAGCATCATCAATTGCACATGTTCCAAGCAAAGGGGAGAGCAACACCTTAGTCTAATAGCATCCTTGACACATGTGCATGGCTGCAGATCAAGTCTGATGCATCCTTCTCCATACCCATGTTATTGAAATTTTATTTAGGCATAACAGGTTTCAATATCTTACGTAATTTCAACATATTTTCTAGATTACAGAAATACCAAATTGTGTAATAAGGAAACTGAAAAAAACACATGACAGGGTAGATGTTTAAATTTATTTTCCCATGCCTCTTCCCTCCTCCTTGCTGTACTTTAAAAAATGAAAAAGGCATTGCAGTTCAAAACCAGATTGCAAGCTACAGGCAAAAGCCCTGCAGTCTCTCTGTGCATCTGTACAGTAACTGACACATACAGACAGGTACTTTCAAGGAGACAGAAGACTTCTCAAATATTAATTAAATAATAGTTAAATTCTTAAAGAGAAAAGACTAAAGGAGAATGAGAATTATATATACAATACTTTACGAACTTAAAGAACTTTTAAAAGCATCATCATCATCTTAACACTTTGACAAAGGTTACTCAAAGCAGTACCAACATTAACCTTCATTGTGAAACCTGTAATTCTCTGTTACTTTCATCTACTTATTTTATTCATCTTGCATCCCTTTCTTAGGGAGGAAAAGGTGAACTGTGGAAAAGTATAACTTCATAGAACAGTAAAGCCACAAATACATGCAGTAAAAATTTCCAGGCATAACAAACGAAGCTTATTTTACTCCAGCTCTTTTCTAAAGGACCAGATTTCATGCTGGCAGTGCCTCTTAATATCCATAAAAATAGCCATTTATAATCATGTATAGTACCTCACCTTCAGAAACTTTGTCATCTTCTAAAAGTACTGATAGTTACAATCACAAAAACATTGCAAAATGTAAAAATGACATTGGTAATACATAATTATTCTGACCCCTGCTATTAAACTATCACTTTTGAAATAAAGCAGCTGTGTGAGAGCACACAGAGACTGCAGCCATAAGGGAGGATCCCACAAGGAGCAGAAACTGGAGTCCTCCAAAGGAAGACTGAAGAAAATTGAAGGTATTCAGTGAAAATCTGCAGGTGTAAAGACATGGGCCTTCCTGCTCGAGCAAGCCATGTTGTGGGGCCGAAGGGCCCTGAGGGTGGTGCGTGCTGGATGAAGTCGGTGGGAGCCATGCCTATACAAGCACAACAGGACCACAGGGGTAGCTTTCCTTCCAAGCTTTTGCCTCAGTTGAATAAGTACAGGAAATGTTACAAATGGCGAACATGACAATTTTTCATTGAGGCAGCACACAGCTCCACCCATTCACAGGTTTATGCTCCTCACTCACTTTCCTGACAAACACATTTAAAATTCTCTTTACTTGTCATCAATGAGGCCACTCAAACTAAATTGCTAAAATTTCCATATAGACCAGTGTCCCCTTTCTGTCATCAGGCTACACGTTTTTTGAGATATAATCATTCAGTGCTGAGTTTTTGGAAAGCACTTAAGACACTCTGTGCAACGGAGTTACAATCTTAAAGATAATACTAGCCAAAGTTCTCTTAGAACACTGGATGGGCTAGACGAAGACCTTCCGCGGGTTGAGGAGGATTGGGTTAGGGATCACTTAGGCAAATTGGACACTCAAAAATCTATGGGCCCAGATGGGATGCACCCAAGAGTGCTGAGGGAACTGGCCGAGGTTATTGCTCAGCCTCTCTCCATCATCCTTGAGAGGTCCTGGAGAGCAGGGGAGGTGCCCGAGGACTGGAAGAAAGCCAACGTCACTCCAGTCTTCAAAAAGGGCAAGAGGGAGGAGCCGGGCAATTACAGGCCGGTCAGCCTCACCTCTGTCCCTGGAAAGGTGATGGAGCGGTTCATCCTAGAGAGAATCTCCGGGCATATGGCGGAGAAGAAGCTGCTGAGGAGCAGTCAGCATGGATTCACCAAGGGGAAGTCATGTCTGACGAACCTCATAGCCTTCTATGATGGGGTGACAGGCTGGCTGGACGAGGGGAGAGCCGTGGATGTTGTCTACCTTGACTTCAGCAAGGCTTTTGACACTGTCTCCCATAACATCCTCATACGGAAGCTCCGGGACAGTGGGCTAGACGAGTGCACGGTGCGGTGGATCGAGGGCTGGCTGGATGGCAGAGCTCAGAGGGTGGTCATAAATGGGGCCGAGTCCAGCTGGAGGGCTGTGGCCAGTGGTGTCCCCCAGGGGTCAGTACTGGGCCCAGTGCTGTTCAACTTGTTTATCAACGACCTGGACGAGGGCACGGAATGCACCCTGAGCAAGTTTGCGGATGACACCAAGCTGGGTGGAGTGGCCGACACTCCGGAGGGCTGTGCTGCCATCCAGAGGGACCTGGACAGACTGGAGAGTTGGGCAGAGAGGAACCTCATGAGGTTCAATAAGGACAAGTGCAGGGTCCTGCACCTGGGGAGGAATAACCCCAGGCATCAGTACAGATTAGGGCTTGACCTGCTGGAAAGCACCTCCACGGAGAGGGACCTGGGAGTCCTGGTTGACACTAAGTTAACCATGAGTGAGCAGTGTGCCCTCGTGGCCAAGAAGGCCAATGGGATCCTGGCCTACATCAGGAGGAGTGTTGCCAGCAGGTCAAGGGAGGTGATTCTGCCCCTCTACTCAGCTCTGGTGAGGCCGCACCTGGAGTACTGTGTGCAGTTCTGGGCACCCCAGTATAGGAGGGACGTGGAGCTTCTGGAGAGGGTCCAGAGAAGGGCAACCAGGATGATTAAGGGAATGGAACATCTCTCGTATGAAGAGAGGCTGAGTGAGCTGGGCCTGTTTTCTCTGGAGAAGAGACGGCTCAGAGGGGATATGATTAATATGTATAAGTTCAGGAAGGGAGAATGCAGGGAGGAAGGGGACAGGCTGTTCTCACTGGTGGCCAGCGATAGGACGAAGGGTAATGGCCACAAGCTGAAGCACAAGAAGTTCCGTCTCCAGGTGAGGAGCAACTTCTTTACTGTTAGGGTAACAGAGCAATGGAACAGGCTGCCCAGGGAGGTTGTGGAGCCTCCTACTCTGGAGGTCTTCAAAACCCGCCTGGATGCCACCCTGTGCCACATGCTCTAGGTGTGCCTGCTTGAGCAGGAAGGTTGGACTAGATGATCTGTAGAGGTCCCTTCCAACCTTAAATATTCTGAAATATTCTGAAATATTCTGAAATATTCTGAAATATTCTGGATTTGTGATTCTCCATATACAAACCTCTAATTATCTGTGCATGCTACTGTGGAGGATCTGCAAGGTCAGACTCATTAACTCAGAATCAGCATAAATTTAGAAATAGGGAAAGCTATATTTTTAAAAATAATGCACATTAATTCTTAGGTTGTACCTCAGTCCCTCTGTCCATCTCCTGCAACAGCAAGAGTTACTACACCAAAAATTTACTATACAGATACTATAAAGATGCCCCACTTAAAAACAATTAGGATGATTTCCTTCTCTATAAAGCAAAATCTTAATCTTTTTACATGCAATATATAGTGCAATATGTATATATGCACATATTCTCTATTCTAATAAGCTCTGTAATACAGAGCATCTGCCCTTACTGAGAGCGGAGCTTTGATTTTCCATTCTATCTCTGCAAATTCAGAATTCCAGTCATAGTGTATCTGTGCATGTTGTCCCTTTCTATCCTGCATTTTGCAGCACTTCCAATGGACATGAACTGACTTGAGCATATAAAAAGAATATTAAGTCAAATATATCTCATTCATTGTAGCTAGTAGTCCCGAAAAATGCACAAGCTGTCCTCTGAGATTTCAAATACATTTGTCAGATAAACATGTGTACAATACCTTTCAGAACCATGGTCCAAAGTATTCATGTCAGCAGGAGAAATTCTGAACTCACTGATTCGGATTCTCTCTTCATAACGAACTTCAACTGAATAGTAGACATACACTTTACCATTAAATTTGAATTTAGGATGGAAGACAATACCTAGAAAACCTCTCTCGTCTCCTTCCCAAGGCGAGGTGAGCACGGCTTCACTGATGTTCAGAAATGGCTTTTCAAGCCGCGATCGGTCGGGGAGGTAGGTCCACACCAGGCCAACCTGCTCGGCAACGAAGAAGCGGTGGGTGCCGTCGTTGGCGTGCACCATCGCAACGGGGTTGCGCAGCCCGTTGGCCACCTCCACCAGGCAGAGCTGGAGACAGCCCTCCGCGTTGGCCGTCACAAAGCCCAGGTTTTGGTTGAGATTCTCATTAGCCAGGAGGTGAGGAAAGCAGTAGTCTACGTCCTCCAGGGAGAGGTAGCGGCAGAATTTGGCCACGTTGTGCTCCAGGGCGATTAACTCTTTGTCCGTAGAGAGGTACTGGAAAATGGACCTGCATTTTTGCCAGACTTGCACGCAGTAGTCTTGGCAAAGCCCTGGGATTGTCCGCACAGGAGTAGAGGGATCCTCGGCGTCGTACAAGTGAGCTGCGTACGGAGAGCACTCCTAGAAAGGGAGAGGAAAGAAACTTCAGGAGATTTTCCTGGAAAATACTCAAAACAGCTGAACAGCAACTCTAAATGCAGAAATTTCACCTTAATCAGAACATATGTCGTGGTTTATTGTGAAAATATATTAACAAGGGGAAAAGATCCTAGAAAATGGGTTTATCTCAGTATTTATGGAAGTGATCTTTAATATTCCCAGTGAAGACTGGCTTCCACATGTGAGTATTCACTTATTCAAACATGACTCAAGAAAATTGCCCCAATATTGACATCCATCTCACTCCATCACTTCAGTGGGGAAAAAGATTTTTCCCTCCTGAATGTTCTACTCGCTCACAAATTCATCCCAGCATCATGGTGAAACCAAGGATAGGCTGGAGAGTTGGGCAGAGAGGAACCTCATGAGGTTCAACAATGACAAGTATAGGGTCCTGCACAGGGGCAGGAATAACCCCAGGCACCAGTACAGATTAGGGGTTGACCTGCTGGAGAGTAGCTCCACAGAGAGGGACCTGGGAGTCCTGGTTGACACCAAGTTAACCATGAGTCAGCAGTGCCCTCGTGGCCAAGGAGGCCAATGGGATCCTGGCTGCATCAGGAGGATGTTTCCAGCTGGTCAAGGGAGGGGATCCTTCCCATCTACTCGGCTCTGGTGAGGCCATACCTGGAGTATTGGGTGCAGTTCTGGGCTCCCCAGTATAAGAGGGACGTGGAGCTTCTAGAGAGGGTACAGAGAGTGAAAAAGAGGATTAAGGAACTAGAGCATCTCTCATACAAGGAAAGACTAAGGGAGCTGGGCCTGTTTACCCTGGAGAAGTGAAGACCGAGAATAGATCTGATCAATATGTGTAAGTACCTGAAGGGTGAATATAGGAAGTGGCTAAGCTCTTCTCAGTGGTGGCCAGTGATTGGATAAGGGTACAAACTGAAAAACAAAAAGTTCCATCTGCACTTGAGGAAGAACTTCACTGTGAGGGTGCCAGAGCCCTGGCACAGGCTGCCCAGGGAGGTTGTGGAGTCTCCTTCTCTGGAGATCTTCAAAACCCTCCTGGATGCCGCCCTGTGCCCCGTGCTCTGGGTATCCCTGCTGGAGCACGGGGTTGGACTAGATGATCTCTAGAGGTCCCTTCCAACCTTAACTATTCTGTGATCCTGTGTGATGGCACAGCAGCAATTATACTGAGAAGATTCAAGTCCTGCATTTCCAGACTGAGGAGGGATGAAGAGAGGTTGGCAGGGCTGAAGCTGCTGCTGGGGCCACTCTAAGAGCAACGCGCCAGTGCTGGGTGCAGTGGGGTGAGGAAGTGGAGGAGGAGACAGGAGGGACATCCGAGACGGGAAGCCTGCCCTGCCTGCACCATCCCTGTCTTGGGTGGCAGCTTTGGCAGCTTTTGGCACCCAGGAGATGCTTTGGGCACCTCACCAGAATAAGCTGAGAAAGGTCTCAAGATCTTATAACGGTGACCAAGTTGTACAAGGGATGCTCAGATTTACTGCACTAGGTACATGATTTTAGAAACACAAACGGTCAGAGTTCAGACAGCCATCTCTGGGAGCAGCTTGCTGATTGTGCAGTCCCCAAAATCCTGCCCGAGGGCTGAGGCAAGTTTATTTAATCCAGTGTACACCAATAAGAAAGTCCTTACAAACCTTCTCTTTCATATAAAAAGCCACTGCAATCCAATCAAACTGCCTGCAAGTTAAAATCTGACCAAGCTGATTCAGTTCTCCTGTTCGACAAGGGCTTTTTCTTGCAATAAACATACCATATTTTCCAGCTGTAATGCATCTTCCTGACAAGAATCTCAAAAATACTCTCCAAATAATGCAATATGAGTCAGTGGAGACCCAGTTATTTTCATAGCGTAGATAAATAACAGAGGCAAGAAACACAGGAAGCAAAACTATCCTTCCTGAATAAATTCTACATTTTTAATCCCTATATGACATTTCTTCCAAGCAAAACCAGCTTAGTTAAAAAAAAGAAATCTCCAGGGAGTTATTTCTTAATGCAGATTACACAACTATTCAACAGCTTAAAAGATAAAATATCCAAGATGCTTAAGTATTTAAATTAGCTGATAAGTACACACAATATTTAATTTTATTTTATTTTCCATTACGTACCATAATAAACCGAGCAGTCGTATAACAGATCATTAGTGTACAATGAGCTTTCCTCCTGTACTGTCAAGCCATTCATTGCAAAATGAAGGTTATTATGCCTTCAAATGAGCAGCAATTAATGTGATAAAAAAGGGATTGCATGTGATACAAAACACTGAAATTGCATACGCAGATTGGGTAATAGCACTCAACTCAGTTACGTGAGCACTGAGGTGCCAGCGACAGAAAAGAGCTGGAATATTTGCTGATTCTTTTGTTATGACTGAAAATTTTGGCTTTAAAACCCAAAGTTAAGCAAGACAGCAGGAGAATCTGAAGAGAGGGCTGTATCAGAGGTCATTCTGTGCATGGGATTTTCCACATTAAGAGAGAACAAGCATTCTCTTTGCATCCCATGATGTATCTGGTTCTCTGGCAGCCCATCTCAAATAAATCTTAGGTACCATAAAGCGACATCTTGGCTTCACTGTCAGAATTAACAGCAGCACAGAGGTAAGATTTCCCAATTCCTGTGCCATTGTGGATTATTCACCTCAGCCTGAATGGTCATTTTGGAATATCTTCCGATTTTAATTCCATATGAGATGAAGCCTGAATCTTGCTCCTGGATCTCTCTGCTTTTGAAACAAATATCGCCTTCGTCCTTCCCACTGGGTTGTCATGTTCCCCCAGAAGGCCAGGAAACTGCACTCAGTCACAGCTCAGCATCACCAGCACATTTAAATACTCATGCCCAAATGACACATGAGGCTGGTTTGTTTGTTAACTTTGAACAGTGATATGATCCAAAGAGCAAAGAGCAATGGCCAAATGACCGATAACTTCAGCAGGACTAGAACAAGCTCACACTATGGAAATACCGCACTAGAACCAAACCGAGGTTGTTGAACCTAGCCTGTCCATTCCAGGAATAGAAACGCAGCTATTTATCTGAGGAGCTGCACCAGCCCGAATTTGGCCGAACACCCCCAACACACAACAGCTTATTTACTTTTGCTATCAATCTGGAGGAAGCAACACACATGCTCCGGAAAACACCCAACTTTGATGCAATTCCTGACACTCCCTGTTGACTTCCACTGTCCCAGTCCATAGGCACGGAGGCAATAGGAAGTCTGGGAGAGAAGGGCCTGGAAGGGGCAAACCTGAGGGAGAGGTTTGCAAAATCACAAAGCAACCACCTATGGTTAACACAGACCTGCTAATCCCAGACCCAGCAATACTGAAGCTATGAGGCATTTAGCAAAACCATCAGCAGATCCGCTTAAGGTAGATAAAGCACTCCCTTATGGGAGATGCAAACTTGGAGAATTTGCTGCCACCTGCGGCTGCACAGGCAGATAGGATCAGCAGGCTGGAGGAGGATCAGACAAATTTGTGGACAAGACCATAGGCTGCAAAAGGCCTAGGCAGGGCTGGCCTCCAACAGCCCTACAGGAGGTGGGGAAGGACCATGGGAAGCAGCCAGCCCGGCGCGCTCTTGCAAAATGCCACCCTTTATGACCACCATCTGCATTAACTTCTCCTCTTGGGCCTGACTATAAGAAATCCCCTCTAGGAAGGGAGCCAGGGTAAAGAAAACAGAGGAGTTAAAAAACAGCATCAAGGACAACAGATGGAAATAGGGTGGGAGGGTCAAAGGATCAAGAATGAAGCACCAGGGAACCGGATGAACAGCACTCACAACATCTGTGACTACATCCACAGCACTTAACAAAATTCTACCAATAAAACTAAAAAGTGACTATAAAACCGAACACCTTCAATCTCAAATGAGCTGGTGCCTTCTTCAGAACCTTATCTGCACACTTGGGTTTTGCAGACTTCTCTGTAGCTAACAGGATGTGGAGAGAGCAAATAAATCCTGCCACACAGCAGCAGACGTAGCAGCGCGTAACGAGTCACTGTGTAAGAAAAGGGAGGACTGCTCAACCACAAGTACAAAAAGAGACACTTGTCAAAGTAATTTCATTACATATGAGAAGCATCACAAACTGTGTGCAAAAAAAAAAAAGAGATACAATATTGAATAATTCACAGAAGAGCACTTATTAATTCAGGTGTACGATATAAATTTTATGTAGAAAGAATAAATGAAAGCAGGAGTGTTCTGGAGACATTTGTAATGTCTAAACTTCCATTTTGTGCTTGCATGCCCAGAGGTGAAACCATTTGTAGCCACGTCTCGGGCTGATGATACATAGAGCTCCTTAGGACGTTTCTGTGAATCATTTCTTCCATGCTGAAACATTTTACTGCCTCCAAAGAAATTTTCAACATCTCTGACACACACAGGAGACTTCCTTAGCACTTCTAGAGGCAGAGCGAGTGCCTATCTGGCACCGCTAACTTCTTGTTTCCTATCTAAAAATGCTCTTCTGGATACAATTTGTTTCAGGAACTTAACTCAGTACAAGGAGGAACAAAATAAAAGCCAAATCTCTAACAGCTGCTGTGGAAAGGGGCTGTCCTTCTCTATGTGCTTTCAGTAACACAAGACAGCCCTGCAAAATACAAAGAGCAGGGCAGCTCTGAAGGCCCTTTGATCCCACCTCAGCACAGCACACGAGACTCCCCTGTCTGAATTATTTAAGATTTACACTTGCACAGCGCAGAGCTGCCACTGCTCTGTCTCAGGGGCATTTTCATACATAGGAGGCCAGCCCTTGTCACACGGTCACAGGCTTGGCTCCCTGCAGCCTGTGACCATCGTGTCAGTGTAACCGGTCGCAGAGCAGAGCCCTGGGAGGAACTTTCCCTTGTGAAGGACGGCTGCTTCAGGGCTTGCTAGGCCACAGCTCCAGGCAGCCCCCTGCACCCAGGGAGGGTGTTTTACATAGGTAGGTCCCTCCCAAGCATCTTCATCACCTCCCTTGGTGAACGTCTGGCCTTGGGAGGGCAAGAGAGTCCAGAAACTGCATGTGCCCACGGGGCCACCTCTTAGAGTGCTGCTGTGCACAGGTTGCAGTGCAGCAACATCCCCGTTACTCCTCGGACACCTGCAGGGACCACCAAGTCTAGTGAGGAGCCTGATGGACACTGACTGCTCCCAGGTTCAGCACAGAGCACACTTTGGGCTTGATGCCCGGGTGCCAGGTACCACCATGCACTGGCCGATACATCACTGCTAGGCTCACGCACTAACCCCATGTTTAGGCACTAGTGCCTCAGCTGATGCACCCCTGTGTGCTCCAGGGCACCTGTGGTGGAGCCAAGGCACCCTGCAGCTCTGTGGACAGCCTGAAGCACCCGAGCCTGCAGCCGTGCACCCATCGGCGGACTGATGCGCCCACGCCTGCGTGGTGTGTGCCCACGCCTGCGTGGAGTGTCCATGCTTGCATGCTGTGCCCACGCCTGCGTGGTGTGTCCACGCCTGCGCCGGCACAGCCGAGCCTGCCCCACACGTGGAGAAGCGGCACCCAGAGCAGCGCGGCCAGACCACCCAGCGCACACAGCGACGCGCCCCACGCGGGTGGATGCGCCCACGCGCGGGCCGCAGCCCGCGTGGCCGCGGGCAGCCCGGGGCTCACCTGGCACAGCAGCTCCTGCAGGTGCCCGGCGCACGCGGCGTACGCGGGCCCGTCGAGGCGGGCGCTGAGGCGGTAGAAGCGCTGCAGCAGCGCCCCGTCGCGCCGCTCGTCGCAGCAGCCGAAGGCCCCGTAGCGGCGGCAGAAGGCGAGCGGCCGCGGCGGGCGGAACGGCGGCTTGAAGTCCAGGCACTGCGGGTGCGGCCGCGACGGCGCCGCCGCCAGCGCCGCCAG